CCACCTGACACACAACACATATAAGTGCAGGGACCCCGATCCAGCATAAACCCACCTGATACACAACACATATAGGTGCACGGACCCCGATACAGTATAAACTTACCTGACACACAATAGATATAGGTGCACGGACCCCGATCCAGCATAAACCCACCTGACACACAACACATATAGGTGCACGGACCCCAATACAGCATAAACCCACGTGACACACAATACACATAGGTGCACGGACCCCGATACAGCATAAACACACCTGATACACAATACATATAGGTGCACGGACCCTGATACAGCATAAACACACCTGATACACAATGCATATAGGTGCACGGACCCCAATACAGCATAAACCCACCTGATACACAATACACATAGGTGCACGGACCCCTATACAGCATTAACACACCTGATACACAATACATATAGGTGCACGGACCCCGATACAGCATAAACACACCTGATACACAATGCATATAGGTGCACGGACCCCGATACAGCATAAACACACCTGACACACAATACATATAGGTGCACGGACCCCGATACAGCATAAACACACCTGATACACAATACATATAGGTGCACGGACCCCGATACAGCATAAACAAACCTGACACACAATACATATAGGTGCACGGACCCTGATACAGCATAAACACACCTGACACACAATACATATAGGTGCACGGACCCCAATACAGCATAAACACACCTGATACACAATACATATAGATGCACGGACCCCGATACAGCATAAACACACCTGATACACAATGCATATAGGTGCACGGACCCCGATACAGCATAAACACACCTGACACACAATACATATAGGTGCACGGACCCCGATACAGCATAAACACACCTGATACACAATACATATAGGTGCACGGACCCCGATACAGCATAATTCCACCTGACACACAATACATATAGGTGCACGGACCCCGATACAGCATAAACACACCTGACACACAATACATATAGGTGCACGGACCCCAATACAGCATAAACACACCTGATACACAATACATATAGATGCACGGACCCCGATACAGCATAAACACACTTGACACACAATACATCTAGGTGCACAGACCCCGATACAGCATAAACCCACCTGACACACAATACATATAGGTGCAGGGACCCCGATCCAGCATAAACCCACCTGATACACAACACATATAGGTGCACGGACCCCGATACAGTATAAACTTACCTGACACACAATAGATATAGGTGCACGGACCCCGATCCAGCATAAACCCACCTGACACACAACACATATAGGTGCACGGACCCCGATCCAGCATAAACCCACCTGACACACAATACACATAGGTGCACGGACCCCTATACAGCATAAACACACCTGATACACAATACATATAGGTGCACGGACCCCGATACAGCATAATTCCACCTGATCCACAATACATATAGGTGCACGGACCCCGCTACAGTATAAACACACCTGGCACACAATAGATATAGGTGCACGGACCCCGATACAGCATAAACACACCTGATACACAATACATATAGATGCATGGACCCCGATACAGCATAAACACACTTGACACACAATACATATAGGTGCACGGACCCCGATAGAGCATAAACCCACCTGATACACAATACATATAGATGCATGGACCCCGATACAGCATAAACACACTTGACACACAATACATATAGGTGCACGGACCCCGATAGAGCATAAACCCACCTGACACATGCACAATACATATAGATGCACGGACCCCGATCCGGCATAAACCCACCTGATACACAATACATATAGATGCACAGACCCCGATACAGCATAAACACACTTGACACACAATACATCTAGGTGCACAGACCCCGATACAGCATAAACCCACCTGACACACAATACATATAGGTGCAGGGACCCCGATCCAGCATAAACCCACCTGATACACAACACATATAGGTGCACGGACCCCGATCCAGCATAAACCCACCTGACACACAACACATATAGGTGCACGGACCCCAATACAGCATAAACCCACCTGACACACAATACACATAGGTGCACGGACCCCGATACAGCATAAACACACCTGATACACAATACATATAGGTGCACGGACCCCGATACAGCATAATTCCACCTGATCCACAATACATATAGGTGCACGGACCCCGCTACAGTATAAACACACCTGGCACACAATAGATATAGGTGCACGGACCCCGATACAGCATAAACACACCTGATACACAATACATATAGATGCATGGACCCCGATACAGCATAAACACACTTGACACACAATACATATAGGTGCACGGACCCCGATAGAGCATAAACCCACCTGACACATGCACAATACATATAGATGCACGGACCCCGATCCGGCATAAACCCACCTGATACACAATACATATAGGTGCATGGACCCCAATACAGCATAAACCCATCTGACACATGCACAATACATATAGATGCACGGACCCCGATAGAGCATAAACACACCTGACACACAATACATATAGATGCACGGACCCCGATACAGCATAAACCCATTGATACACAATGCATATAGGTGCACGGACCCAGATACAGCATAAACCCACCTGATACACAACACATATAGGTGCACGGACCCCGATACAGTATAAACTTACCTGACACACAATAGATATAGGTGCACGGACCCCGATCCAGCATAAACCCACCTGACACACAACACATATAGGTGCACGGACCCCAATACAGCATAAACCCACCTGACACACAATACACATAGGTGCACGGACCCCTATACAGCATAAACACACCTGATACACAATACATATAGGTGCACGGACCCCGATACAGCATTAACACACCTGATACACAATACATATAGGTGCACGGACCCCGATACAGCATAAACACACCTGATACACAATGCATATAGGTGCACGGACCCCGATACAGCATAAACCCACCTGACACACAATACACATAGGTGCACGGACCCCTATACAGCATAAACACACCTGATACACAATACATATAGGTGCACGGACCCCTATACAGCATTAACACACCTGATACACAATACATATAGGTGCACGGACCCCGATACAGCATAAACACACCTGATACACAATGCATATAGGTGCACGGACCCCGATACAGCATAAACACACCTGACACACAATACATATAGGTGCACGGACCCCGATACAGCATAAACACACCTGATACACAATACATATAGGTGCACGGACCCCGATACAGCATAATTCCACCTGACACACAATACATATAGGTGCACGGACCCCGATACAGCATAAACACACCTGACACACAATACATATAGGTGCACGGACCCCAATACAGCATAAACACACCTGATACACAATACATATAGATGCACGGACCCCGATACAGCATAAACACACTTGACACACAATACATCTAGGTGCACAGACCCCGATACAGCATAAACCCACCTGACACACAATACATATAGGTGCACGGACCCCGATACAGCATAAACCCACCTGACACACAATACACATAGGTGCACGGACCCCGATACAGCATAAACACACCTGACATACAATACATATAGGTGCACGGACCCCGATACAGCATAAACCCACCTGACACACAATACACATAGGTGCACGGACCCCGATACAGCATAAACCCACCTGACACACAATACATATAGGTGCACGGACCCCGATACAGCATAAACCCACCTGACACACAATACACATAGGTGCACGGACCCCTATACAGCATAAACACACCTGATACACAATACACATAGGTGCACGGACCCCGATACAGCATAAACTTACCTGATACACAATACATATAGGTGCACGGACCCCGATACAGCATAAACACACCTGATACACAATACATATAGATGCACGGACCCCGATACAGCATAAACACACCTGATACACAATACATATAGATGCACGACCCCGATACAGCATAAACCCACCTGATACACAATACATATAAGTGCACGGACCCCGATACAGCATAAACCCACCCGACACACAATACACATAGGTGCACGGACCTCGATACAGCATAAACACACCTGACACACAATACATATAGATGCACGGACCCCGATACAGCATAAACCCACCTGATACACAATACATATAGGTGCACGGACCCCGATACAGCATAAACCCACCCGACACACAATACATATAGATGCACGGACCCCGATACAGCATAAACCCACCTGATACACAATACATATAGATGCACGGACCCCGATACAGCATAAACCCACCTGATACACAATACATATAGATGCGCGGACCCCGATACAGCATAAACCCACCTGATACACAATACATATAGATGCACGACCCCGATACAGCATAAACCCACCTGATACACAATACACATAGGTGCACGGACCCCGATACAGCATAAACCCACCTGATACACAATACATATAGATGCACGGACCCCGATACAGCATAAACCCACCTGATACACAATACATATAGATGCACGGACCCCGATACAGCATAAACCCACCTGATACACAATACATATAGATGCACGGACCCCGATACAGCATAAACCCACCTGATACACAATACATATAGGTGCACGGACCCCGATACAGCATAAACCCACCTGACACACAATACACATAGGTGCACGGACCCCGATACAGCATAAACACACCTGACACACAATACATATAGGTGCACGGACCCCGATACAGCATAAACCCACCTGACACACAATACACATAGGTGCACGGACCCCGATACAGCATAAACCCACCTGATACACAATACATATAGATGCACGTAGTGAGTGCATGTTGTCACACACTGCAGTCAGAATATTACAGTCCTATCACGTCAGCCTGTAAATAATGTCTGGACCAGACAAACCAGTGATTCGAAACATTATCACGACCCACGCCATAGGGAAGGATGACACGGAACAGCATATCTGATAACACGATACATCATATAATTAAACTTTTTATTTTAGAAAAACTGAAGGTATCTTTTGTCGGTGAAATAAACATTCACTCTACAAATCATACAAAGATACAAAAGAAATTGAAATTATATTTCCCTGTTTAAATATTCAGCTAACCTGGAACATTCTCACTGACAGTTTCCCCAGCCACACCACGTTTACACAGCGAGTGAGTGAGTGACTTGCGTTTTACGCCGCTATTAGAATTAGCGCAGCAATATCAACCTCGAACACCAGAAATCATGAGCTTCACAAATTGTGCCCATGTCGGGAATCAAACCCGGGCCTTCGGCGTCACAAGCAAACGGTTATCTACTGTACTACCGCTCCGTCTCCTTACAGTAAGTCACGATATGGCTGAAATATTGACGATATGACTCGCTCACTCACTCCCTGTAAAAAGACTATATTGGATACTTATTCTACTTTTTGTTTTGATTGATTACAGGTTTTCCTACAGCAATAGCTACACAATTTCCATATAAGGAAAATACACATATGGAGGATGAACAGGACAAGCCCGATGACGTCCAGACACAAATATTGATACAACGGCATGTCCTGACAATACGACCTCAGATGGGCGGCGCCATATTTAAGCACGTGTTCTATCCAGTAAACAGCTTCATCTTTGGGACTTCTTTTTCGGAGCTTCGTGATTTCCGCAGCTTTCTTGATATTCTGTGAGTAGGAAGAATTCTGAATGACCTCATTGATGTTGGATACCAAGTCAGCAACAGTAAACGTTTTCAAATCCATTTTGAGACCAAAGCCATGGTACACGACCTTCATTGAATTATACGGTTGATCCCCAAAAAGGGGAAAACCAATCATGGGAACTCCCTTCAAGAAGGCCTCGTTCAGACCACTAGCTCCGCAATGGGTTATAAACAATTTAGTGTTCGGGTGGGCGAGTAGATCCGACTGCGGCATCCAGTCGGTCAAAAGAACATAAGGTCCAACTTTGACTTTTTTGTCAGTCTTGAATATGTATCGGTAGTTCGTTCGTGAAAGCGCCTCAAGTAACCTTTTGGATATTTCATCAGGAAGCGACTTCACATTACTTCCGAAAGAAACAATGACCACGCCTTCTTTTGATTCGTCCATAAACTTCTTGTATTCAACAGGGAGTGGCTTTGGTTCAGTCGCTGACAGAGATCCAATCAGCTTCACGTTGGGCAGCGTGGCAGCTGGGTAGTCTAGTAGGGGCTCAATGTCGATGAGCCACAGCCAGGCCTTAGCTGTCAGAGATTCCATTGAGATGTACGGCTTCTCGGGGGCGTATGTCGCTACTGGCCTATAGGTACAGAACGGATCATAAAAGAACACGTACAGCACAGTCGTGATGGCATTCGCTACACGCGTCCCGAAGTCCATTTTCGGTGTCCTTGGGGAAATGATGAACGGAAACGCAGATGGAACAAAAGGGGTCCTGCTAACTTGAGGCTCGAAAGCTGCCCCTATGAATATGAAGGGAATGTCCAGTCTGTAGGCAATGGTGGTAAGCATTCTGGCTAAGGGTACAATATCAAATATAATCAAATCAAAATTCAAATCTTTGATTCTCTTAAATAATTCCTCGTCCCTCAGAATACGGTCACATATTTCCGTTATAAGATCAAAAGGCACAGGAGGACCGTTTTCTTGGAAATATGCGTTTATCATGCTGTTGAGGATCATTTGGTCAAAGTCATATTCATCAACAGACTCGTATTTGAGGATGTTGACCCCTGGTGCCTGCATGCCCTTGTGATTGGCCAGTTCAGTTGACAGAGCATTCCATACCACGTGACCATGTGAAGCGAGCTCAGTGGCCACGTTCAAAGATCCCCGGATGTGACTGTATGTTGGCATATACAAGAAGAGAATCCTGGCAGCCTGGAACCCAGGCAGACTCAACAGCAACAACAGCAGGGCCAAGCTTGTTGTAAGTGCCCACATCCTGGATAAGAGATGCCGTCTGCAACATATAAAGATATTAGTCTGCAAAATGTAAAGATATTAGTCTGCAATATATAAAGATATTAGTCTGTAATATATAAAGATATTAGTCTGCAATATATAATGATATTAGTCTGCAATATATAAAGATATTAGTCTGCAATATATAAAGATATTAGTCTGTAATATATGAAAAAATAAGTCTGTAATATATAAAGATATAAGTCTGCAATATATGAAGATATTAGTCTGCAATATATAAAGATATTAGTCTGTTATATATAAAGATATTAGTCTGTAATATATGAAAAAATTAGTCTTTAATATATAAAGATATTAGACTGCAATATATAAAGATATTAGTCTGTAATATATAAAGATATTAGTCTGCAATATATAAGATATTAGTCTGCAATATATAAAGATATTAGTCTGTAATATATAAAGATATTAGTCTGCAATATATAATGATATTAGTCTGTAATATATGAAAAAATAGTCTGTAATATATAAAGATATTAGTCTGTAATATATAAAGATATTAGCCTGTAATATATAAAGATATTAGACTGCAATATATAAAGATATTAGTCTGTAATATATAAAGATATTAGTCTGCAATATATAAGATATTAGTCTGCAATATATAAAGATATTAGCCTGTAATATATAAAGATATTAGTCTGTAATATATAAAGATATTAGTCTGCAATATATAAAGATATTAGTCTGTAATAAATAAAGATATTAGTCTGCAATATATAATGATATTAGTCTGCAATATATAAAGATATTAGTCTGTAATATATGAAAAAATTAGTCTGTAATATATAAAGATATTAGTCTGCAATATATAAAGATATTAGCCTGTAATATATCAAGATATTAGTCTGTAATATATAAAGATATTAGTCTGCAATATATAAAGATATTAGTCTGTCATATATAAAGATATTAGTCTGCAATACACTCAGCTCAGGGTTAGATCGCTGACTGTGGGTGCTGGCGATTAGATGCATCACTCTGGCAGTGTGGGTTCGAACCCCGGACGGGACTCAACCCCAAAATGTACGAGAATCTGTACTTTACTAAGAAAGTGTTACCCCAAATATAACACTTGTTACATTTGACCACTTTCTAAATGGCATTGTGTGTTCATGGCGTGAGACGCTGCTCATATCAATCACTGGTTTGTCTGGTTCAGACTCGGTTATCTACAGGCTGTCGTCATATATTTGGACTACAAGTGACTGCGACCATAAACAACAAACTTAACAAACAATGTAAATTTGCCTTTATTGGTAGTTAAGCATTATTTAATATTATATATGCATATATTATATATTAGCCCGCGCGTGATCCAGGCCCTTTCGAACTGTGATGAGCGCCCGTGGGGACAGATCAAGGGGGAGGAATTGATAAGATTAGGTGAGATAAGATAACACTATATTATCACGAAGGAAATTTTGGTAACGTTAGCACAAGGTATCAGCTTATTGACAAACACACATACAAATAACTAAGAGCATCGCAAACGTGATTAACAGTAAATGTGGAACTAATAAATGCTCAATAATTATTTGTCATAAAACTTATTACAAAACCTGGTACTAGCCATCTGCCCGAGGCAAGAGAGTTAACTGACTGTAAAAGTCCAGATTCCACCCTCGCCGAACACGGCTGGTATTATGGAGTTATAGTTTGGCTGGAAGTGTCTATGCATAGTCCAATCAAAATCGCGAAACGAAATCGACATTCGGTTCATAAACATGGCGACTGCCTTGCAGGTTTCGGTTGATTGCAGGATTTGCAGAGCACGTGCAGTGTCCATTAATTCCGGGTTTGTTCTTAACATCGGCAATCGTAATCCGGCAAGGAGGAAGAAGTTCATCCTCCAATTGTAAAACATGCGAAATATCGCTTAATATTTTATTTGCTTTATTAACTGTTTGCTCTGTTTATTGTGTATTTTCATTCCGTGCGAGTTTTGAACCAGTGACGGTGCCCAGATAGCTATACTTCTATTACTTCATTATCAAGTGACAATAACAATTGGGGTAAAACATGAGTTAGTTTCCCTAACATCTATGACCATTTCCTTAATTTTCTTGATATTTAAAAACAGATAACTATCCTTACAGCAAGATATAAAATTAGAAATATCATTTCTATACTCAAGTTCTGAATCTTTGATAAGCGATACAAGTGCAGCGTCATCTGCAAATTTTACAGAAACAATTCAACAGAACAACGGCGACTACAGTCATTTGTGTACAAAATGAAAAGATGGGCGAGATAGCACCATCTTGAGGGGCCCCAGTAACAGTGCGAATAAGAGATGAGCAGGTGCCATTAACGGTGACGAACTGTGGCCTGTTTAAACAAAGATTTGACCCATTTGACAATATTTGTGTTAACACCCATGTTGTTCAGCTTTTGCATAAGTACGTGAGGTTGTATGGTATTGAGAGCAGATGAAAAACATCGACGAACAATATTCTTACATTCGATTTACCGTTATCTGGACGGCCTGAGATTTTCTGCAGGACAGTCTGTGGTGCGTCCTCGACACCTCTGTCGGGTCTATATACAAATTGCAAAGGACTATAAATATACTGATAATCTCTTGATAATGCGTTCAAGGCATTTCCTAGGTATTGAAGTTAAATCCCCAGGGCGATAATCATTGTATAACTTGGGTTTTGCTTTTTAGGAACAGATACAGAGTTAGAACGTTTCCAAAATAGAGGAACGTGATGGGAATCTAATGAAGCTTGTAAAAGCTTTTAAATATGCCGCACAACTGTTCACTGCATTCATTAAATACATTAAATATATAAATTACCTGGGCCGCATGCCTTGTTTGTTTGTTGTTTAACGCCGCAATCAGCAATATTCCAGCTACATGCGGCGATGTGTAAATCATCGATTCTGGACCAGACAATCCAGGGATTGTCATCATGAGCATCGATCCACGCAATTGGGATACGATGACATGCATCAACCAAGTCAGTGAGCCTGACCACCCGATCCCGTTAGTCGGTTCTTACGACAAGTATAGTTGCCTTTTACGGCAAGCATGGGTTGCTGAAGACCTATTCCAACACAGATCTTCACGGGTCGCATGCCTTGCGTACAATCTCATTAAAATAAGATCTTAGTTCTCGCTATCGCTAAACAAAGATCTGAGGATATCCCATTACGGGTCACGTCAGAACGACCTTTCATCGGACCAATCAAAGCGTCGCTTACCAGATCATGAAAGTGACAGTCGGAATGTGTCTGATCATGCAACCTCGAAAACGTTTACACGTGGTGTTGCGAACGACAGTTACGGCCCGTACGACTGATTCCGTCAAAATTATCGTCTGTCTCTCGCTTCCGTGGGATAAACATTTGAACGTAAAGACGTTGCACAGTCCGTGGGAAGCACTGCCACGCAATCTCAACCATATATTAGACATTCCGGAATGGTCGTTTGTTCAGTTTTCAAACTTTTAATCGAGAACTGTGTCCACATATTTTGCAAGCGTAGCCTTAAATGGAAGTCGCTAGGTTGAAATGAGTGCCGTAAAGCTCGAGAAACTGCTTTCTAATTGGCTGATGTCGACTTCTTGTTAGTCATTTCAGTGGTCTGTCAAAGTTAGCGGAAGGTCGTTCTGACGTGGGATGTCCTGAGATCTTTGATTGGCGGCAGCGAGAACTTACAACTGATTTTAATGAGATTGGCCTTGCGTATGTATAGTGCGCTAAAACATTTAAGAACATTATCATTAGATACGGCTAAGATATCATCCTGCTGGGGGCACTGAATTCAATTTCAACTTTTGAGGAAAAATCATGAGTATCAAAACGAGTATAAGAAGAGTTCAACTCATTTTAGGATTAGAGGAAGTCCATCCGGACCTAATCCAGCTTAGACTTCTCTGTACGCCAGTCCACGGGGTCAACCACACCCCCGGGGCTAGACTTGGCTCCTGTCTGCGCTAACCAGAAGACAGGCGGTAGCCGTGTGTTGGCAAAAAGCGCCAAGCATGCTGCGCGCCCCAACAATGGAACCAGTTAATTGCAGGGACGCAGTATCGAAAGCATCCTCGGGAGAAGGACTTCTCTACTTCTGTACAGAACAAATGATACGCTTGTCACATCCATAACAAACATATATGTTAAAAGAGGGACCGTGTGTGATTAGGGATTTCAACGCCTATAATATGGATATCCTACACTCTTGAGATTGCAGGTTGGACAAATCTTAGTCCTGCACCATGACCGTGGAATATATTTATTTTATGAAAAAATAATCTAGAAATGCATACAAAAGCAAGTCTAGCCAGCTCAAGCTAGCTCTATTCTGAAATCAGGATAGGGATTTTTTTATTTGTTTTAGAGTCAAGAAGGATATTGTGTAATATAAGATTTCAGAGACTAAATGTTAGTCTAGACAAGTCTCTAAGGCAATAATTATTAATTTAAATCATAATTTCTATAGGTTATATAAATTATAAGAACAAGTTACACCTATAAGAGACAGGCGTCCCTAGATGCTCTGTCCGGTTATCTAGACTTGCCTATCACAAGGATTGACTTAATATATACACTGTGGACTTATCTGTCAGTGCAGCCTTGGAGCAAGACTAATGGCAGGCATTCAGAGTGTTCTAAAGTAGTTGAATAAAACTGCAACTATGCCTGAGCCAATCGACTTCTCTACATGCACAAGTTTTTAATGATCAACGGATAACATTTCCGTGGAAAAAATCGCTGAAAGCTATTCTCACAACGAACTACACGTACCTGTTTCCCTACCTTTCTGCTAGAGAAGCGCGCCGAACCTCTCGTGAAGCTGTCGAATTACCCAGAGCGAAAACATTGACAGCTGTCACGTGACACCGCCTAGGGATCTTCTCAAAAGTTATGACACCGAGTATTAGATGTGTTCTGTTTCTGATTGTACTTTGGTCCGACCTTGGTTGGTAAGTCAAGATAAAACGTTCAAATAACAACCATTAACATATACATAATTCATCTCAGGAAATTGTATATCTAGTTATAGAGAAAGCTGCCAACGAATAGCTTTTGAGATGATTCCCGCAAGAAGGTCAAATACGTTGAAGGTGGCGAGTTCACCAATACAAATATTGAGGCGTGTGAATGGCAGGGCGGGGCTATATTCATGGAAATCATTGAATCCACTCCAGGAAAACAGACAGATGTACGGAGCTCCGTAAGGGACACAAACACATCTATTTCTAGCTGCGGTAGCCGTGTCTCTGTGCTGCTCCATATAAACGATTTTGATTTTGACTTGTCGCTACAGAGCTACGGACTGTTCCATGGTGTTTTCCATAATAAATAGGAAGCGATGTGGTAGCCTAGTGTTCACTCGTCACGCCAAAGACCTGGGTTCGATTTCAAACATGGATACAATGTGCGAAGCCCATTACTGGTGTCCGAGGGTGATATTGCTGGACTAAAAGCGACGTAAGACGCAAGTCACTCACTGACTCACTCACTCACTCTATAAACGTGGTGTACATTTGTCAGTGAGAATGTTCCAGACTAGCTTTATTGTTCGCACTATTAAATGTAAACAAAAGTAAAAAATCAGTATCATGTCGCACGAATGCGACTATTTTCTCCAAGGACTATATAAATATACTAATAAAAAAGCGACAAAACCCTTTCCATATTCATAAGAAATCTCTGCCAAAAATAAAGTTGATTGTACTAACAAATGTATGGATCGATGAAAGCTATAGATCAAGCAATACATGGGATATTTATCAAATTAAATTTCTTGAAATGTGTACCGAAAGTGTAATAATTCTCTTCTTCATAATTAGTTATATATTAATGTAATAAGACAAATATCAAAGAAACTTTATGTATAAAATATACTCTTCAAAAAAAGAAACTTGACATAGATGTAAAACCACTTTTTGCCAAATATCTAAAATAATTACATTATATGAGAACCATATAAGTCAAACAGAAAGATAATGCGAAAACACACGCAAAGCACATAAACGTAGTGTTTGGGGATCAATTTTACAGCTTCATCCAAACGCAACCGCCTGTAAAAAACGTGCAGCACAGGATCCTGCATTTAGGCATGCAGCCCCCCCTGCTGAATGGGTATAAAAATCCACATCAACGGCTGTTCATACAGTCCTTATAACGGCAGTAGAGGCGGTGACCGAATGCCAAGACTGAATGCAGCTCAACGGAACAACGCCATTGGGAGATTACAAGCTGGAGCAACTCAGCAAGAAGTGGCCAGGCACTTTGGCGTATCCAGACAGACAATCTCCGCACTGTGGACCCGATACAACAACACCAACAGAGTTGACGACAGACCAAGGTCAGGAAGACCAAGGGTGACAACCCAAGCACAAGATCGATACATCCGGCTGCGACACCTCCGAGACCGCACTACCACAGCCACGTCTACAACCACACAGATCCCTGGGGTACGCAGAATATCAGATCAAACGGTACGCAACAGACTGAGGGAGGCTGGACTTTTTGCACGAAGACCTGTTCGACGTCATGTATTGACCCCACGTCATCTGGCGGACCGTCTGCTTTGGTGCCAACAGAGGGTAAGATGGGCACGTGCAAGGTGGAGAAATGTACTGTTTACTGACGAGTCCCGTTTCCTATTCACACGTGCTGATTGGCGCGCACGTGTCTACAGACGTCGGGGTGAACGTAAGGGTGGACTACAGCCTTACGTTCTTCCTCACGTCAACGTTCATGGCGGACAGTTTCAGCAGGACAACGCTCGACCGCATATTGCACGTGTTTGTCAGGACTTCTTACAGCACAACAACATCCAGACATTACCTTGGCCAGCCCGGTCACCAGATTTGTCCCCGATTGAGCATCTGTGGGACGAGTTGGATCGACGCGTTCGCAGAAGGAATCCACCGCCCCAAACACTTCCGGCGCTTCTTGATGCACTTCAGCATGAATGGCAGCACATCCAACAGCGTGTTATTGACAACTTGATTGCATCTATCGGTCGTCGGTGTCAAGCGGTGATTGATGCACGTGGTGGGCACAACCGATACTGACAATTTCTGTACCCTTGTGACATTAGCTGTATCGTGTACGTGTGTCTGTCTAGGTGACACGATTAATGTTTTGAACATTGTGTACATTGATCTTCAAACAGTGTTTAAATTATGGTTTCTGTGTCCTATTTTGAAACAATCGCATTATATTTCATTTTGAAAGTCAGTGTCAAGTTTCTTTTTTTGAAGAGTATATAAAGCATATTTAGAGGAGAAGGGGAATCCATTTTTCAATATTGATGATCAACCCTTTTTTCAGACTCTTATTATAATAAAGGGTTATACTAAAGAGAAGAAAAAAATCTTATCAACAATAGTAATGCCATGAAAATCGCGATATAACTTCGCGTAATTAAACAAATTAAAAGAAGAGTAACAAGCACTAAAAGAAACATATACTAGCCACATAAAGAAACTGTGCACGGAGAAAATATATTCTGGATTGAAATACAACACAGCAAGAACAAAATAATGCAGACGCTGTAGCCGCTGAATGATCGGACCATAAGAAAATGTCAACGGGACCTGAACAACATCTGTTACGATGACGTCAGAAGATCAAAATGGAGTAGGGGGTCAAACGACAAAGTCACAAAGTCAATAACGGGTATGACCACCCTGTGCGTGAATCACAGCTTTGCATCGGCGACGCATGGAGTCCACCAAATGGGCATGGAAGGCCTGGGGAATGGCCTGCCATATCCTCCTCAAATCCTGTGCCACGTCACGACGTTATCTGGAGGATGTGGAAGACGACGCAGACGGCGCTCTATTTCATCCCACACATGCTCTATTGGGGAGAGATCTGGAGAAATTGCAGGCCATGGCAGTAACATGACATTGTTATGGTGAAGGAAATCCATTGCGACCCTAGCCGTGTGAGGACGAGCGTTGTCCTGTTGAAATGTCAATCCCGGGCCGTGACGTTGCAGGAAAGGAATGACCACAGGCCTCAGAATCTGATCTCTGTAGCCAACACCGGTGAGATTGCCCTGAACAACCACCAAAGGGGTTCGGTGCCGTGCTGTTATCCCACCCCAAATCATCACAGAGCCACCTCCAAAACGATTCCTCTCCACAATACAGTTGCGTGCATAACGTTCTCCCAAACGCCGGTAAACACGTTGGCGCCCGTCACTGTGGGAAATGTTGAACCTCGATTCATCTGTAAAGACAACATTTCTCCACCATATTCGAGGTTGGCGAACATGATTTCGACACCATCTTAGACGGTTGACGCGATGACGGTGTGTCAAAATGGGACGTATGGCAGGGCGTCGTGGTCGAATCCCGTACTGACGTAAACGATTCCTGACAGTGTTGGGATGGATACGGCGCAGTCCATGAATTGTCTGGGACGTCGTTACTGCCGTTTGGAACCTGTGTCGGAGATGTGTAACTCGAATCTATCTGTCCCGTCTTGGCGTCGTTACTCGGGGACTTCCTGAACGTGGGTGGTCGGCAACGTCATTTGTGTTCTGATAACGCCTCACCAATGCCGATATCGTGTTACGATGGCATTGGAAATGTGTTGCCACCTGTTGTTGCCTCATTCCCGCTCGGATCATTCTAATGGCTTCATGACGCTATGCAGCTGTCAATCTTGGCATGATTTGCTTGTGATATGCTTGTGTCTGCGCCTGAGAAGTTTTGAATTTTTGAATGACCAAAGATCATGCTTTCCAAAGTGACAGCGAATTTTGAGTTGCACATGCTGTGTACAGCTGCACAGGATGCACGTGCAGTAACACAGTGCACGTCCATAGGCCCCCATCAATGACGTCATATCGCATGGCACGTGTTTGAGCGTTTGAATGTCTCCAATAATTGCTGTGTTCAAACCTATCTTTCATATATGGACGGTGTGCCCTTATATCTATATTTTCTCCGTGCACAGTTTCTTTATGTGGCTAATATATATTAAACAAAATCCCCACTCCTGCGCTCTGGAGCATAACGGACTGAAAAGGAAGAAAAGCCAACAAAATATTTTCTATGACTTGAAAAACAAAACTTTCTTATCAAGACAATTCAAGATTAGAAAATATAACTAAAAAGGTTATCTAATCAATGAAATATTTAACCATTTACACTTTATGCCCTACCAAGAAAGTGAATATCTGCATTTTATTCAGAGGATTCCATATACCAAAACTAGGCGAAAACTGTCCCAAAATATACCACATATCAATAGGGAAAACAGAATATCCTGTGTCTCAGTTCGCGGACACGTCACTTATTTTGGACAGTAAAGAAAGCTGTCTTCAAAAAATCTTTAAATTCTTTATAAATAAGGATCCTTATCCGACTTAAAATGTAGATACCAGTAAAACTCCAGTAATCTGGATAGGATATCAAAAGGAATCGAATAGGTCACTGTCAAACATTATTCAAAATTAAATTCGGGCACAAACATATTTCACAATTCTAGTCATTATATTTACCCACAATTTATCAGCAATTGTTGAAAGAAACTACAACAATAAACTAAAAAGATAAAACACAAAAAGATAATGGTTCTCTTTGGAAGAATTACGGTTTAGAAAAGTATAATCTTCCCAATACCAAGTCACTTATTATCATCGTTACCATATCTGAATAATAACATCATAAATGAACTGGAGAAACGATGCTTTAGATATACGCAAGAAGAGAAACGCATAGGAGATAATCATGTGGAGTGTCAATGACTACAGTGAGTGAGTGAGTGAGTGTGGTTTTACGCCGTTTTAAAAAATATTCCAGCAATATTCACGGCGGGGGACACCAGAATTTGGCTTCACATATTGAACCCATTTTGGAATCGAACGTTGGTCATCGACGTGACGTGCGAACGCTTTAACCACTAGGCTACCCGACCGCCCGGTTTTTTTTAGAGTGTATATGGCATAATACACCAGACAAGCTAAAAAGAGATATAGTATAAATGAATTATGAGGATGATGGTGTTAGAATCCTGAGACATTAGAAATACCACTGAAGCTCAACAATCGCATGGATTCATAGAATACTTAATTATTTAATTCAATATAATTTAATATACCCAAGAAATAGGGATTTAAATTTTAAAGGGGAAGTCTTTCTTAAAAGTGATGTAATATGTTCGAAAACAAACAACTTCGAGCATGGGGAAAGTTTACCACAAAGAAGGGCACTAATGTAAAAGAAACTAAAGACACACTAGGACAACAAAAATGTTCACGTGTTGTTTTCACGTGTGAACAACTGACGTGTTTTCCCGAGGCAAGTGAGTTAACTAAATCAAAAAGTCCAGTTTCTGGGTTCGATCGTAGCGCCACCAGTGGCTAATACGAGTTATGTCCCTTCTACGTCCCTCCTATTGCCCAATCAGATTCCGCCTCTCATATCACTTGCATTTGCTTCAAACAAAATGTCGTCGCCCAGGCAAGACGATCTGATCGATAATCAAGATCTGTATTGTAATAAAACGGGTCTTACTCCGCGAAGTGCATCAAATCACGTGAACACCTTGTTTTACAACAAGATTTGCAAAAGATCTGTTAGACTGGTTCCCGGATCCTCCGCTTGGTGTCGCTCCGCTTTCCAATGTCTGTCGCAGGAAGGAACGGGAACCAGTCTAAAGATCTGTCGACTCCCAGTTGGCTGTACACATACTTTGTAAATCCCGCAGTTGACCTAAATCTGCAGGTTGAAATCTATGTTGTTTACAAACCGGATGTCGATTTCGTTACGCGATTTTGATTGGACTATGCATAGCCTCGTTATTCCAGCCAAAATGTAACTCCGGAATTCCAGCCTAGTAGAAACTGGACTTTAACAGTCAGTTAACTCACTTGCCTCGGGAAGATGATGCATGTACCACCTTTTCGCAAACATCATCATAGGTTTTTCAAAGTGACTCCGGAGTTCGAACCCCGGCCGCGTCGTTCCAAAAGACGATAAAATATTGGACGTGTTGTTACCCTGTCTGGCACTCGGCATTTAGGGATCTCAACAAGGACTGGTCAGCTCGGAGTCAGTATGCTGTGTCTGAGTGGGGTATTCATGTTAAACTGCCACATGGTATCTCAGTGGGCAAACACTATAAAATCGGCATCAGTCCGGACTATTACCAGCAGCCACACACACACGTGCATGCACGTTGCTATTATATGCACAACGGTTAACTAAAAGAGACATCCAAGATGTGATGTGTTTCAAAAATATTAATTATACACGCTGTGCTATACACTCTCCAAAAAAGAAACGCACAGGTAGATTTTTAGTAAAGTTATTGTACCTAATAATGACGATATATTTAATTTCATATCATAGTTACAAATATGAAATTTTGGAGCTTAATGGTCACATGTTGTCGTTGTACAAAGGCACTGAAAACAGTTCATAAGGCCACAAGGGGGCGCTGAGTTCAGTATCTCGTGTGACCGCCCCGGGCAGCATATCACACACACACACACACACACACACACACACACACACACACACACACACACACACACACACACACATTGACACTACCGCCACCGAAATTGTCGAATTCACATACACAATGTGGGGCAAAACGCTCATTTCGACGACGAAATTTCGCTCATCTCGCCGGTCAAGAAGAAATCGTGATTCATCACTAAACCACACTCGTCTCCAGTTTCTCAAATTCCGATGCTGTAAGGTATGGCACCAACGCAAGCGTCACTGTCGATGGATCTGTTGCAAAACAGGGACGATAACTGGTCTTCTGGGTCGGATTCCAGCCTCGCGAAGATGGTTCCTGCGGTCTGGTCCGATATCCTCCTCAAACCAGGGATGCGTCCTGTCTCCGTAGCTATGACTTTGCGATAACGTAGGTGGAACAGTCGAATTGAACTGTGTGTATTGGTCCCAGAGGCGGCAAATGGTGCTGTGGTGGACGTTGAAAGGGCGAGCAACAGAAGACAGGGATTTCCCTCTTTGGATACGTCCAATGGCGACGTTCCAATCGGCAGAACCGAGTTTCGTCATTTTCGAACTTGAAAAATGTTGACAATTGAATGACACATTATTGGCTTATGCTTGCCTTTTTATAGCCACTACCACGAGTTACGAATGCCATAACTTGCACGTGCATTTTGCTTTACTGTTTTCCTCCATTACATTTTTGAACAAGTGTGAAAACACTGCCGTTTTAAGACATTGCAAATCCACAATGGCTGCGTTTTGAGGCGCCGTTTGCCGAATATCAGGCCACCAACATTTTCCAATAACATATATCCAATTTATGTACCGGACGTTTTGTGTACCTTCTACTACCTGTGCTTTTCCTTTTTTGAAGAGTGTACATGTCATGCTGGATATCGACCATATTAAGACCATCTGTCGCAATGATCAAACTGGCCCAGCCCGACAAATAACTCAGTAGTGACATAACTGTGATTGACGAGAGAACGTGAGATTACCAAAAAAAAGGTCTCTGAACAAGAACAAAGGAATCACGTTTCGATGTACATTCAAGAGTAGTTCAATCAAACTTGTCGGAACTGCATATATGCCAGAGCCAAGATATTTATCCTTGATGCACAAGCATGAATGACCAACGGATGAGGTTTTCAAATCAAGTTTAGAGAGTAAAGGGATAATATTTGGCAACAAAGCTCTTCAGTGTCTTTGTTTTTATGGCTTAGAAAAGATTTGGGCATAAATGCTTAGCACTAGAGAAAGATGGGAAAATGCTACGCTGAAACGATGACATTTTAAAGTTATAGAAACGAAAAGCTTTTGAGACAATTCCAGCAAGAAGATCAAATACGTTTAGCTCATAACTTTGTGTAAATAAAAAACTCAGCCTCCATCTGCTTGAAAAAAATAACGACCACAATATGGCCATCCTCATCAATACAGAATATGTCGTGAGCAAAGCCATAATCTTTGACAGAGAGACATGACAATGAGAGACACTATGCCTGTAACCCTTATGTATTTTTAGTAATCATTTTGAAATAATTTCAAGAGGCCATAACAGTTTTCGACTGTGATTGGATATGACCATTAAGCATCATTACCCTTACTTGGGAACTGACGAGCAAATGAAATGTTACCAATCAACATTGTTTGTTCCTAAAAACAGAGCAGGAAGATAAGTGTATTGTCAAAAGACATGAATTAACTTCTTCTAAGTAACGCCACGGAAATCAAGTTGGCCTAAAGCAACCCTATTGGAGTTTGAGATGCATCAGTTGTGAGGATGAAGGGTTTGTTTTGGACGGGCTATGCAAGGATTGGGGCTGTCGTAGAGCTTGCTTAAGCTTTTCGAATGTATAGATTTGCTACAAATTTGTGATAATACAAGGTCAAATCTACAAAAGGACACACGTCATGGACATTTTTAGAGGGTGGGATCTCTGTGATTGAATCTTTTTTTGAAGGATCGACATGGATGCCATTTTTGCTGAAGACATGCCCTGATTAGGTGACTTGTTTTGTCGTAAATTTACATTTGCTTGGTTTTAGAGTGAGTCCTGCTGCTTTGATCTTTTAGAATACTGCCTTGAGGTGATTCAAATGTTCAAAAAACGTTTCAAAAAATATCATGTCATCTACATATATTAGTATGTGACGCCAGTTCATTTCTTTATTGCCTCTGAAAAGGTTTGCAGAAATGCCAAAGGAGCATTTTTGAGCCGAAAGGGAGGCGATTCCATCCAAAAACACAATCGGTGCAATTTAGGCGGACTTGTGTTTTGCATCTGGATGGAGTGGTATTTGCCAAAAGCCAAGAGCACAATCAAGCACACTTAAGATATTGGCAGAGGTGGTAGAGGGAATAATATAGACCAAATTCCTTGCCACCTGGTCATGCGTTTCTTCTGATGTATCATAGGGCTTGTTCTTTCAGTACCATTAATCTCAGCATGTTATTTGTCACTGTCCAACGGTTTGGGGTGAATGAACAGCACATCGTTCCTTCTATATCCACATCTTTGTAGGCTGGCATGCTGCAAGTGCAGCAGAAGTTTCAAACTCAAGTTCCGCTGGTCTGAGTAATGCAGAACGTGCTTCACTCAGCAAACGGTTGTGGTTGTGTTTGGGCGATTGCTTCTCAACAATTTTGTAACACTTTTCTGGGTTTGCACCCAACGTGTCCAACTTTCAGTTTGTAAACGTTTCTTTTTTCGTCAGTTTACATCAAAAGCTATACTACTAATGTCCATCATCCACAATCTTAGAAGATCTAATTGAAAAATACATTACTCCAGTTGAGGTGACAGCATGTCCAGTGTATTGGGGCTTGCTACACATGGTGTTAAAAATTGTCTTTATCTATTATTTTATTGCTTAATTATTCTGCTATTAGCATTGTCCTGTTTCAAAATCACCTTAATCTGTACAGTTGAACGGTGAGAAAATTTCAACTTTCTTCCATGGGTTGAATTTGAAATTAGGCATAAAAAAATATCTCAGCTCTCTTTTAAGAAGAAAAACACTACTCATTATCTAAAATTTTGAATATTTTATTATGTAGATCTATTTGCGGCAAAGAACACAACATGGCAATCACCATGCACCTGAAAATCCGAGCCCCTGCCAATCAATGTCAGTCGCTCAAACATGACTCACCACGTTCTGACGCGCGACGGAAAGCATTTCCGTAGTATTTCAGAGTTACCTCCCTTCGACTACACACTTGAAAAGGCCCCCATGGGGTGTTGGAAGAAAATCAGAAAGATGTTGGATTTGTATGACGGAAGTTGGACGACAGAAACTACACGGTCGGCCGTGGTGGATATCATCGGCTGACGCTTCGAGGTGTGGGCAGCAAATGTGTGTATTGTTTCCATTGTTTTCAAAGTGTGTATTAGGAAATACAGGGAGCTGATGGTAGACGATAAGCAAGGGACTCCGCATTTTTAAAAGGGTGTGGACCGAAATATGTAAAACATCTCTCAGATAAATATGCTGCCTACAACATACTATATTTGGAAATACAGTCAAGTCACGTTAATCTGACAATCGGCTTTATCCGACACTAATGATGGGAACCGATTAAATCAGTGCTATTTAGACCCGTTAATCCGACAGTGTCGCACTCCAACTCCGACACACCTAATTTGCAAAACCGAAATCACTCATTAATCAGAGATCAGCGTACTCATTGGTCATCCGCCAGCGAGTACACAGCCCTTGCTTTGATGCGAGACGAATCGGCTGGTAGCTGCATATTACAACGGCTGCAGAGATAAACTTGCTTAACAATAAACAATTAATGCTTTAAATAAAGAAAACAGGATAATTCACATGCTTAGATTACCTCAATCTTATTCAAATCAGATACAAGTTCTCGCTATCGACGAGGACATCCCATTACAAGTCATGTCAGAACAACCTTTCGCGAACTATGACCTACCAATGAAATGACCAACAGGAAGTCGACGTTAGGTACTTAGAAAGTAACTTTCTTAAGCTTTGTGTACCAGTTTCAAAGTTGCGACTTCCATTTCAGACAATGCTTTTTAAAGTATTTTGAATCGGTCATACAGTCTGTAACAGTTGTTAAACTTGAGGTTGCATGATTAGAAAACATATTCCGCCAACAATGTAACATAACAATATGAATACGTACTATACCCATGGCCCCCCACCACCCTCCCTCCCTCCCTCCCTCCCTCTGGATCCGCCTTTGAGAAGTTTGGACAATGTTACAGAGATTTCTCCTTGTGTCTTATAATTTTATCTGGATCAGACCATACTGAGTTAAATGTTCTGTATATTTGTAACATGGTTGTTTTGTTTGTTGTTAATGCCCACTCAGGAATATTCCAGCTATATGACTGCGATCTAGTCTGGCCCAGACAATCCAATGATTGCTGTCCTGAGCGTCGATCAATGCAATTTGGATATGATGACATGCATCAACCAAGTCAGTGAGTCTGACAGTTAGTGGCCTGTTACAAGCATGGGTTGCTGAAGACCATTTCTAACCCAAATCTTCATGGGGATTGTAAAAGTAATTTTTTGATACTTGGATATTTTCACCATTGTTTAGGGGCGGTCGGGTAGCCCAGTGGTTAAAGCGTTCGCTCGTCACGCCGAAGACCCGGGTTCGATTCCCGACATGGGTACAATGTGTGAAGCCCATTTCTGGTGTCCCCCGCCGTGATATTGCTGGAATATTGCTAAAAGCGGCGTAAAACCATACTCACTCACTCACTCACCATTGTTTAATTCTGGCCTTGTTAATTAACGTTTACATGTAATTGCGATTCGTAAGCTCACCATGGCTAATGAAAAAACAACCTGTGTAGTCAAATAGTCCATATTAGGTGAGTCTATGAGTGAGTTGACCTGTCATCATTATATCCCTATCATCTCTGGAACTCTGCCGACTGTCATCATAACCCAGTCATGTGGATCGGTGCTCACACTTCAGGGGTACAGTTAAGTCTTGCTAAATCATGTATGTAAGTCGTTGTGTACACTTGACATGTTTAAAAGTATACTGCTCAAAAGTAGTTAACGAACGCCTGAGTCTTTCATATTATTATGGTCAATCTGACTAATGTCATGGCATGACAAATTAGCTATAGTAATATGAGTGAGTGAGAGTGAGTTGGGTTTAACGCCACTTGTAACAGTATTCCAGTTATATCACGGCGTGTCCGCTTAATGTGGGTGAAAAGCCCGAAGTGATGCAGGTCTCAGATGTTTACCACTTCGGTGAAACCAACGAGCATGGATATAGTGCTGACAAACCTAGAAACATAATCAGGTCTAACCTGGATTCGAACCCACAATCATAGGTTTCTCGCGTGTCCAGACCGCCTCCGTGGCCTAGTGGTAGAGCGTCCACCCGGAGAGCGGAAGGTCCAGGGTTAGATCCCCAGCCGCGTCATACCAAAAGACGTTTAAAGATGGTACTTGTTGTTACCCTGTCTGGCGCTCGGCATTAAGTGGTTTAAAGCAAGGACTGGTCAGCTCGGAGTCAGTATACTGTGTCTGAGTTGGGTATTCATGTTAAACTGCAGCATGGTATCTCAGTGAGCTAGCACTATAAATCAGCATCAGTCCGGTCTAGTACAAGCAGCCACACACACACTCATGCATGCACGTCGCTATATAAGTGCAATAATCTTGGACGCGACTTTAAACCCAATTTCACCTCACCTTCTGGCATGTCCAAGGGACGCAACTCTGCACAGCAAATTGCACCGCCTTAGACAACTGGGCCCCCGATGCCCCCCTGTAGTAATATGAAAGAATCAGGTGTCCTTTAACATATTTTGACTAGTATTTGATGATAAATAAATTGTTCTGTTTATTGCAGGTGTCCCTCGTTATGCTGATGTGCAAGATCTCCTGCAAGTGTCGATTCCGTGAGTGGAAGTGACGACAGTTACCAAACAAGTAGTCATGGTTCAGATCGGCCTTATAACGGCCAGTGCCTATTTCGCCCTGATCGCACTCTGGTGGCTGATTCAGGTCACGAAACGCTACCACTTCATGAAACAGCGACACTGTGATTTCTTTAACTCAGTTACCTACCCTTGTTGTGCCTGGGACAAGAAACACCCGGTAGAGGGCGTGTTCAAAGTGATTTCTAGTCTCGCTATAGCGATCATTTTATTTTCTTTCAATGGTGCTGCCAAAGTGGACTTCTTGACTAATAGAGAAATTGCAACGATATTCATGTTTTTTATGGTTTCGGGTGTGATGGACATTTTAGCCCGATGGAGCGGGAATACATTCTACCAACAACTAGACTATGTGGCTCTCATGTTGTTTTTCACCATCCAATCAGTGGTTTTCGTGTCAAGGTCACAATTCTCGGAGCAGCCAGTGACGGTGTTGTACTCGCTCATGCTGTACACATCCCTCGCCACCCTTGCTGCAACTGCCATGGAAATGAAGTATGGGGATCAGGTGCTGTGTCCAGTCATGCGGAGTTATCTCCTCTTGACTCAAGGGACATGGGGCCTACAGGTGGCGTTTCTGGTCGAAGACAAATCTCTCATGGTCAACACTGACTCGGATAAGATCTTGTTGGTGGTCATGTATTTTACTTGGCATTGTGGAATTAACTTTTTCCTGATTTTGTCGATTTGGTTGATTGTGTTCAAGATGTTGCAAAAGCAGATATGTTGCTGTGTTGCCACGGACACCGCTGCCGGACAAGATACCATCTACCTGGAGAACAGGGTGCATTTTGATTATCATGTTTTAGACAGATTCGAATCTGATGTTGAGTAAAGAACAATAAGGAATGACGAGGTAAAGAAGATGCTGGTTGATACGGAGCGTAACACACCTTCAGATGGTGCTACCATGGAAACTGTGTCATCTTCATTGTACATCAGTACATTGATAACAATGTCGACATGGTTAAGTGAGAGCTCTTTGAAAATATCAGGGTCTTCCACAGAAGTAAATATCTTTCAGAAATATATTTCTGAGTTCCATGTTTTAGGATCTCCCATTGTTTGCCAGGATGAAGCCAGTATATTTGAGATTACATATTGGAGTTAAGTAAATCCCCCCCCGCCCCCGGATTAATAAGCAGTGTCAACTAAGCATGTATTGTACATGTCGGCCCCTCGAGATATATTTCCTCTCCTAAAAATGTATGTTCTTGTTCCTGCCAGTAAGATTGTCGTGAAGACAGTTATCCCACAATGCCTCAATCTTCAAAGTGTAGTATTAGTGTTGGCAATCATAACTCAGTATTACGGGAGCATCTTTGAGGAGAGCTGCCAATGTTTTGTGTTAATGCCCGGTTTATGGATAGTTTTGATTTGCTCTGTTTTCCAGTTTTAATAAACTTCATTTGGGGAAGAGGGTCAAGTTTTAATAAACTTCATTTGGGGAAGAGGGTCAAGTTTTAATAAACTTCATTTGGGGAGGAGGGTCAAGTTTTAATAAACTTCAGTGGTTGAGAGGGAGGGGCAAATTGACTGCTGGGAATTCCGTTTATTGCTAAAAATAGAATGAAGCCAAAACTTCAATCAAAACTCTCCATATTAGTCAGACATTGATACCGGAGTATTATGATGATTTGTTCTGACATATCTTTATCAAGTTTATTCAATGTGGATATTGATGAACTTTCTCTAGAATTTTATGACAGTTTTTGCTTTCACTTGGAGTGAAAGGGATTAATTATTTTAGATAAGTGTGTTTTCATCCCTGGTTTATTCTGACACTGCACAGCAGGACTGAACCGTCTTGCATGTTCGAATCATTGGTTCTCTCCCTTTGCCTTGCAGGGCCACCCAATAGAACAAGCTAGGGCCGGCTATCCATACAGATCCCATTTCTGGTGTCCCCCGCCGTGATATTGCTGGTATATTGCTAAAAGCGGCATAAAACCATACTTACTCACTCATATCGATAATTGTTCATCGTTCTTCCGATTATCAATCTTTTTACCCAGCCCTAGAACAAGCTATGAGGCATCCAAAGATTCAGTGCCCCTAACAGCATTATGTGACAGACTTTATATGAAAGGATGTGAATGTGTCTACCATGTCTACTGCTTGAAGAATTGTGACAATACAGATGTTCTGATATTTTTTTCTATTTGTGAGGTCTTCTGAGTTCTTTACAGGATCCTACACACAGCTCTATACAGGTCCTACTCACAGCTCTATACAGGTCCTACACACCGCTCTATACAGGTCCTACACACAGCTCTATACAGGTCCTACACACAGCTCTATACAGGTCCTACACACAGCTCTGTACAGGGTCCTACACACAGCTCTATACAGGGTCCTACACACAGCTCTACACAGGTCCTACACACAGCACTATACAGGGTCCTACACACAGCTCTATACAGGGTCCTACACACCGCTCTACACAGGGTCCTACACACAGCTCTACACAGGGTCCTACACACAGCTCTGTACAGGGTCCTACACACAGCTCTACACAGGGTCCTACACACAGCTCTACACAGGGTCCTACACACAGCTCCATACAGGGTCCTACACACAGCTCTACACAGGGTCCTACACACAGCTCTATACAGGTCCTACACATGTGGGTTTTAATTCCATTCTACAAAATGTCTGGTTGTGTCTCTGTGCTGGAATCACAGTCAGCCACTATCTTCATTACAGTAATGTTGCATTTTAATTCACAAGTGACTTTCAAATTTATGTCAAGGAATATGAATGTTATGTCCATGTGCCTAGCTACTTAAATATATTTTAATGTATTTAAATTTATGTACAAATACTGTACAAATGGTAGATGTGTTTTGGTACCACGCCATGACTTTGTGTTGTTTACAACTTCTGGTCAAGCCAAAATATACCAAGTGCTGTAATGATGTATTTACATTTGAAATTGTTGAGTTTTACACTTCGAAATGATTGTTTCTATTGTGTCTCTTCACATAAATAATGTGCAATGTTTTCCTGGGTAAGACCAATCTTCCAAGATGTTGAAAGTCATGACCATTATTTTCTTGTAAAGGCCCGATATATTTCATATTCGGAGGAGGGAGGGGGTAAAATTATATATTCCCGAAAATGCTTGGAAAAACATTTAGTCTGTTTGACATGCTGGTCGTTCTGAAACAAAATAAGGGGGAGGTGTCATATTCTGCCTTACAGAAGTGTTTTTGTGTTTTTTGATGTGTCAAAGAAATGAGGACTGACACAATTGTCTCACCTTTTTCTCTGTTTTTTTAAGTATTATTTGTTTGGGTGAAAAACGTTACTGTCTGCGCATAATGAATATAATCAGGTTTTGTTTGTCAGATCCAGATCCCCCTTTTGAAAATCACAAAAATGTGGTATACACATGTGGCAGTTTAATATTCCACCCAAAAATACAGTGGACTCGGCATCTGCGTTCTCCGACACTCTTTATAAACCAGCATCTATCAGCTTCCCGTGGCATGGGAGTTAAATGACTTTAAAAGGCCAGTTTCCAACCTTGCCGAACTTGGCTTGAATTATGGAGTTACATTTTGGCTGGATTAACAAGTCTATGGATAGGCCAATCAAAATCATGTAACAAACTTGACAACCGGTTGGTTTTTAATGTGCAGATTTCCGTCGACTGCAGGATTTGCAAAGAATATGTACAGTCAACTGGGCATCGATTTTGCAAATCTTTTCATGTTTTTAATCAAGGTGCTCAATTTATTTGATGCACTGCGCAGGGTAAGACCCGTTTTATTACAATATAGATCTTAATTATTGATCAGTTCGTCTTGCCTGGGTGCTGACATTTTGTTTGAAGCAAATGCAAGGGATATGTGAGATGGAAACTGATTGGTCAATAGAAGGGACATCATGTAATAGCTACTGGTGGTGCTCCGATCGAGCCTGGAAATTCCAGCCTAGTTCGGCAAGGGTGGAAACTGGACTTTTATAGTCAGTTAACTCCCTTACCTCAGGAAGATGGGTATCTGTGTACTCCACCACTCTCTATACGCCGTTATCTGAGTACTCTGGCACTCTATCAACCAATCTTTATTTCCGGTCCTGGCAAAATTTGTTTCAAACATCATTATTTAAACTCCAGCCTCTGCCTGTCCCAGTCTCCAGTCACCTCTCTATTGACCAGCATTGCTTCCTGACGAGATGATTACCGGCCCAAGAGGATTACACGGACATTTGGTTGTCTTCAATGTATCTCCCTTCTGTGTGGTCTGCATTTTTGATGCCGTATCAGACAGAGGACAAAGTACCTTGCAAGGATTCAGTCAATACATTGTCATCGGTAAAACAGTTGCCAGCTGGCCAAGAGGTTTTAAAACTGTTACACATCACCTGATTGAAGATGCCATTTAAATTGTCAGTCTCTGAGCATGTTGTGAATACCGTAGACATTTTGTATCTATGTTTTGTTTGTAAAACAATTTAGTTTGGCCTTACCTAATAAGAGAAAAATAACTGCATGTTTTGTTTTTATCATAGAGGAAATACCCCACTTTTGAAACAGCATGTATTTATACTGTGTCTTCTGTGATTGGTGCCATGTTACCATGGTTACAGAAAGTAATTTTTTTATCTACAGTCTGATGTTAACATGATTAATGTTCTAGTCCAGGTATACAGGTACTCTATGCTGTTTTTGTATGTTTTCCATTGTGCAATATTCTGTTCACTGGGTAATTATCATCCTGGTTATGAAATATTCTGTATAACACCCTATGTTTTATATGACAATAGTTAAACTGTCATGGCCATTAAATGTACATGATAGTTTAACTTAAGTCATATGAAGAAATCAGGTGTTCCTCCACTTCTTTGGAGTAGTATATATGTATTGCTGCTGTACCTGTGTGTTGGCCTGATTGATGTGACCTGGGATAGGCGAGAACTACGCTACTGGTCAAAGGCCTGTCTTCAGCGTGGTTTAATCTGCAGTGCCTGAAGTTAAGCTGTATTGGTGGAATTACCATCTAGTGTATTATGTATTACTTAGTACTAAGGTCATGCTATAGGTACTCGTCTGATGATTGAACATCTTTATATTAGCAGCTTTTACCAGTCACCCATGCTTTGCTTGTCGTAAGAGGCGACTAACGGGATAGAGTGGTCAGACTCGCTGACTTGGTTGATGCATGTCATTGTATCCCAATTGGGTAGATCGATGCTCATTTTGTCGATCACTGGATTATCTGGTCCAGACTCGATAATTTGCAGACTGACGTCATATAGCTGGAATATTGCTGAGTGTGATGTTAAACGACAAACAAACAAACAAACAAACCAGTCAGGGTATGTGCATTCACTGACATAACCTAAGCGAAGAGCTGGGTTTTGTATTTGGAATTAAAACTCCACTTTCGCAAGAGGCCATCCTGATTAAAGCTTTGTTGGCATGGTTGTACAGCAGTGTTACATTCCTTCTCCTGGTGGAGGTATAATAATAATAATAATAATAATAATAGGCCGCATATTTCCACACCACACAGGGGCATACTCAAAGCACTATCATTACCCAGTGTGCATTCAACAATCATTCTCAGCTCCCTGAGGATAATACAACCCATGCTGCCTGTTAGGCACTAGGTTAACAACCACATCCTTCCTGGTACCCATTTACTGCTGGGTGAACAGAGGCATAGCTTGAACAAAGTCACTTGCTCAAGCAGACATCACATGTGGGGCTGGACCAAAGCCCTTGAAATTCTCAAGCTGCCGAACGCGGTCACCCATCCATGGACTCTCCACGACGTTGCTTAACTTCACCTGATTTGTCTCATAGTAGCATCTCTGCCATACTGGGGGGGCACGGGTGGCCCAGTCGTCTAAGGCGCCGCAATTCGCTGTGCAGGGTTGCATCCCTTGGGCACGCCAGAAACCTATGATTGTGGGTTCGAATCCCGGTTCGCCCCGATTATGTTTCTAGGTTTGTCAGCACCATACCTGTGCTCGTGGGTTTCACCGAAGTGGTAAACGTCTGAGACCTGCATCACTTCGGGCTTTCCTCCCACATTAAGCTGACACGCCGTGATATGACTGGAATAATGTTAAAAGCGGCGTTTAACCCAACTCACTCACTCACTCACTCACTCACTCTGCCATACTGTCATCCTACAGGTGATGTGTATCCTAGTGATGACATGACACAGAATGGGTGCAGATGTTATGAATGGTGTCCAGTCAGGGCTGGAATGTTAATGTGCATTCAGTGGCTTTACCCAAGTAAGCAAAAAGCTGGGTTTTGTAGTTGGATCTGTCATGCAGTAACGTGTCTGAAAAGGGCAAGTGCTCAGTCCCTGACACCCCACCCCCCCCCCCCCACACACACTTCTGACCCCCCAACCCCCAACCTCACTCCTGACACAACCCCCAACCTCACTCCCGACCAAACCCCCGACCCCCAAGCCACGCCAAGCCTTGTCCCCCCCCTTTGAATCATGCATTAACAAATAGAATGTCACAAGAGACAAATGAACATGCATTATTTTACTGGTATGATATTATATTTTTTGCCAAACTAGACAATGTGTTTGTTTATATATATATATATATATTTGTTTATGACTGCCATGTTTTACAAATAGCTAAGGTCAATAGGAAATGAAGTGGACATGAATCAGTATTAAGGTTGGGACAGGACTATTGTTTCTGTCTTTTGGGTCAATATGCCAAAATGCAGAAAAGGTTTCTTGAATATTCATATGAGGTGATTAGAACAAACTTAAAATTAATGAACTCAAGATGAGACAAATAACATTATTTTTGGAGTGATCAGGGCAAGCTGATCAGAGAAACAAAGTAGATTGGTGTGACCTGTCGAACATATCCCACGAACACCCTGGCCCTCTACTCCACACAATCCACAAAGAAGTTCTATTTTTGGTGTCTTGGGAAGAATTCGAAACTATTGGAAGACAAAATCATAAATGTCATTTTGTTCAAATTGAGATTTCATTATACTTGTCGTAAGAGGCGACTAACAGGATTGGGTGGTCAGGCTCGCGGACTTGGTTGATGCGTGTCATCGATCCCAATTACGTAGAACGATGCTCATGATGTCAATCACTGGATTGTCTGGTCCAGACTCGATAATTTACAGACCGCCGTCATATAGCTGGAATATTACTGAGTGCGGCGTTAAACAACAAATAAACAAACAAACAGTATAGCCACAACAGGCTTTGTCTGAATGTCCCACTGTAACACGCTTACTGACTATGTTGGGAACTGGGCGAGGCGACCTGGACACAAGGTATGAATAGTGTTTTATGCCGTGTCCTGCAGCTACTGATCTATAAACATATTTAATTAACCTTACTTTCCTGAATTCAATTGTAATTTGTCATTGCATTCAGTACAATAACGTAAAAATTGGAAATCGTTAATTACCATTGGGGATATTTTTGTGGCGTTTGCCTCAGCAGGTCCCGGTAAAGTCCTGGTTCATCAATCTGTCTTCGTCTTGCCTTATGTACTGTTGTGTGATGAACCGGAGGGGGAATCTCATCTCTGTGAGGCTGAATCTGACATTACATATGGTTTTACCTACATCATGTATATCCCAGTGTCATAATGCAAATAAAGATTTTATCTGGAAGAAAGTTTTTATCATATTAATTGATGTGAAAAATAATGTTATTTATGAATTTGTTATTGTTTGAGCTTTCTTTGAGAAGTGGAGTGTTTGACAGATCAAGGTGCCAAGTTTGGTGCATGTACAGGAACGTTTTGTCTCCCTCACCTGATATTGCTCATGCTGTTTTATTTGTCTTATATTATCAGATGTGCCATGGGTTTTCAAATAATTATTTGATATTTTTCTTACTTTTCCCTACCGAATTCCTTTTAATACTTCTAGGGATGTCGTTGTATATCATAATATCAATGTATCAATCAATTGTAATGTTGATACTGTATGGATATAAATTTATGAATAGCGATACTAAATTATTGTTGCCATGGAAACGTAAAATATAAAAATTTCTTAAGTTTCTAAATAACAAAAGGCACCAGTTCAGTATGTACCTGACAGACCTGCAAAGTTTAATGGAAAAAAATTTAACGGTTTATGAGTTATGCTCCGGAAACGAACTCTACCTTCACAGAACCTAAGTCCATCTTGTTGCCATGGAAACGTAAAATATAAAAATTTCTTAAATTTCTAAATAACAAAAGGCACCAGTTCAGCATGTACTTGACAGACCTGCAAAGTTTCATGAAAAAATATTGAACCGTTTCTGAGTTATGCTCCGGAAACGAAATGTGACAGACGGACGTAGCCCGTTTCTGTATCCCCCCCGCCAACTTTGGGCGGGGAATAATAATACACTGGATGGACATTCACTTAGTTTGAAACATTAAATGGATCACCTAGTTTATATACTACTCAAAAGAAGTTAAGGATCACCTGATTCTTTCATATAACTATAGTTAATCTATCATGTCATGACAGATTAACTTTACCATTATGAAAGAATTGGGTGATCCTTAACTTCTTTTGAGTAGTATATTTAGCATTCAGTTGATTGATTGCGGGCCTTCCATCTGCTGTTTGTCAAGTTTTATCCACATAATAACTCACTTAATTAATGGATATGGTGATTACATGGTAATTTGAGTAATATCTATAATTCAACTTTCAAATCAGTGACCTTTACTTAAAACATAATGAATCCCTGCTTTCATCTAAAAAGTCATTGTTTTTATTTAAGAGAGAAGCAAAGTTATTTTGATATGTTTTAACAAGGCGTCATTCAGGAGATAATATGCCCATCAACTGGAACATGACAATCCACACAACATCGTGATATCTGCTTCCTGAAAAATTACCATTACCATGGTAACATATTCCTCTGTTTAACCTTGTTGCTGTAAGCTGTTTGAGAGTTACCAGTGAGGACTTTCATAAGTCGTTGCATGTATGTGAAGCTGTGTGTTAGCCCTGCAGACAGGGCACGTCCCCATCAGGCATGACCTCAGGTTTGATCCTCGGTAGGAAACTAGAGTTAGTGAACGTCGCTTGTCAGTCTGGCCTGTAAGTGGTTGATTCTGGATGAAGGAAACCATTGATGGATGCTGACATCACTTCTGAAATGAGTGCCGTGAAGTGATGTCACCATCTCCACCCCTCCTATCACTTAGGACCGCCTCCGTGGTCTAGTGGTAGAGCGTCAGCCTGGAAAGCGGTCTGGGGTTCGATCCCCGGCTGCATTACACTAAAAGACATTAAAAGATGGTACTTGTTGTTACTCTGTCTGGCACTCGTCCTTAAGAGGCTTAAACAAGGACTGGTTGGCTAAGAGTTAAACTCCAGCTTGGTATCTCAGTGAACTAGCACTATAAAATTGGCATCAGTAGTACAAGCAGACACACGCAAGTACGCACGCACGCACGCATGCAGGCACATGCACACACAAACACACGTTGCTATATAAGTGCAATAATTTCAGATGTGACGTTAAACCCCATTTCACCTCACCACCTCCTATCAAATACTTTGCAAAGAATTTCGCTGCCTTGGGTGTCATGTGACTGGATGGCTATTTATAGCATCATATCAATAGAACAAAGCTAAAATGAAGCCAGGGAAGTGTATAGGCCCAGAGTATTTATCATGGATACCACGGACAGGCTATATATCATGGATACCACAGACAGGCTATATATCACTGATACCACAGACAGGCTATATATCACTGATACCACAGACAGGCTATATATCAGTGATACCACGGACAGGCTATATATCATGGATACCACCGACAGGCTATATATCACTGATACCACGGACACGCTATATATCATGGATACCACGGACAGGCTATATATCATGGATACCACGGACAGGCTACCGGTATATATCACTGATACCACGGACAGGCTATATATCATGGATACCACGGACAGGCTACATATCATGGATACCACGGACAGCCTATATATCATGGATACCACGGACAGGCTATATATCATGGATACCACGGACAGGCTATATATCACTGATACCACGGACAGGCTATATATCACTGATACCACGGACAGGCTATATATCACTGATACCACAGACAGGCTATATATCACTGATACCACAGACAGGCTATATATCACTGATACCACAGACAGGCTATATATCATGGATACCATGGACAGGCTATATATCACTGATACCACAGACAGGCTATATATCACTGATACCACGGACAGGCTATATATCACTGATACCACAGACAGGCTATATATCACTGATACCACAGACAGGCTATATATCACTGATACCACAGACAGGCTACATATCATGGATACCATGGACAGGCTATATATCATGGATACCACGGACAGGCTATATATCATGGATACCACGGACAGGCTATATATCACTGATACCACGGACAGGCTATATATCACTGATACCACGGACAGGCTATATATCACTGATACCACAGACAGGCTATATATCACTGATACCACGGACAGGCTATATATCACTGATACCACAGACAGGCTATATATCACTGATACCACGGACAGGCTATATATCACTGATACCACAGACAGGCTATATATCACTGATACCACAGACAGGCTATATATCACTGATACCACAGACAGGCTATATATCATGGATACCACGGACAGGCTATATATCACTGATACCACGGACAGGCTATATATCACTGATACCACAGACAGGCTATATATCACTGATACCACAGACAGGCTATATATCAGTGATACCACGGACAGGCTATATATCATGGATACCACGGACAGGCTATATATCACTGATACCACAGACAGGCTATATATCACTGATACCACAGACAGGCTATATATCACTGATACCACAGACAGGCTATATATCACTGATACCACAGACAGGCTATATATCACTGATACCACAGACAGGCTATATATCAGTGATACCACGGACAGGCTATATATCATGGATACCACGGACAGGCTATATATCACTGATACCACGGACACGCTATATATCATGGATACCACGGACAGGCTATATATCATGGATACCACGGACAGGCTACCGGTATATATCACTGATACCACGGACAGGCTATATATCATGGATACCACGGACAGGCTATATATCATGGATACCACGGACAGGCTACCGGTATATATCACTGATACCACAGACAGGCTACATATCATGGATACCACGGACAGGCTATATATCACTGATACCACGGACAGGCTACATATCATGGATACCACGGACAGGCTACATATCATGGATACCACAGACAGGCTACATATCATGGATACCACGGACAGGCTACATATCATGGATACCACGGACAGGCTACATATCATGAATACCACGGACAGGCTATATATCATGGATACCACGGACAGGCTACCGGTATATATCACTGATACCACGGACAGGCTACATATCATGGATACCACGGACAGGCTATATATCATGAATACCACGGACAGGCTATATATCATGGATACCACGGACAGGCTACCGGTATATATCACTGATACCACGGACAGGCTACATATCATGGATACCACGGACAGGCTATATATCACTGATACCACGGACAGGCTACATATCATGGATACCACGGACAGGCTATATATCACTGATACCACGGACAGGCTATATATCACTGATACCACAGACAGGCTACATATCATGGATACCACGGACAGGCTACATATCATGGATACCACGGACAGGCTACATATCATGGATACCACGGACAGGCTATATATCACTGATACCACGGACAGGCTATATATCACTGATACCACAGACAGGCTATATATCACTGATACCACGGACAGGCTATATATCACTGATACCACGGACAGGCTATATATCACTGATACCACGGACAGGCTACATATCATGGATACCACGGACAGGCTATATATCACTGATACCACGGACAGGCTATATATCACTGATACCACAGACAGGCTATATATCACTGATACCACGGACAGGCTATATATCACTGATACCACGGACAGGCTATATATCACTGATACCACGGACAGGCTACATATCATGGATACCACGGACAGGCTATATATCACTGATACCACGGACAGGCTATATATCACTGATACCACGGACAGGCTATATATCACTGATACCACGGACAGGCTATATATCATGGATACCACGGACAGGCTATATATCATGGATACCTCGGACAGGCTATATATCATGGATACCACGGACAGCCTATATATCACTGATACCACGGACAGGCTATATATCATGGATACCACGGACAGGCTATATATCATGGATACCTCGGACAGGCTATATATCATGGATACCACGGACAGGCTATATATCACTGATACCACGGACAGGCTATATATCACTGATACCACGGACAGCCTATATATCACTGATACCACGGACAGGCTATATATCATGGATACCACGGACAGGCTATATATCATGGATACCACGGACAGGCTATATATCACTGATACCACGGACAGGCTATATATCACTGATACCACGGACAGGCTATATATCACTGATACCACGGACAGGCTATATATCATGGATACCACGGACAGGCTATATATCATGGATACCACGGACAGGCTATATATCATGGATACCACGGACAGGCTATATATCACTGATACCACGGACAGGCTATTTATCACTGATACCACGGACAGGCTATATATCATGGATACCTCGGACAGGCTATATATCATGGATACCACGGACAGGCTATATATCATGGATACCAGGGACAGGCTATATATCACACTGGATAATCAAGGATGCAGCACATGCAATGGAAATGTGTCTAAATAAATATGCCATATTTGTCGTATTAACAATCTTACCGAGGCAAGGGAGTTTACTGACTATAAAAGTCCAGTTTCCAACCTTGCTGAACTAGGCCGGAGTTACATTTGGCTGGTCTAACAAGTCTATGCATAGTCAAATCAAAATCACACCATGAACTAGCAATCTGGTTCGTAAACAATATGGATTTCAAAGTGCAGATTTCAGTCGACTGCAGGATTTGCAAACCATCTGTAATGTCAACTGGGTGTCGACAGATATTTTCCAAATCTTTTCATGTTTTTAATCAAGGCGCTAAAATGATTTGATACACTTAACCGGGTAAGACCTGTTTTATTACAGTACAGATCTTGATTATTGATGAGATTGAATGGGTGCTGCCATTTTGTTTAACGCAAATGCAAGTGATGTGAGAGGTGGATTCTGATTGGTCAATAGGAGGGACATAATTCGTAATAGTGCTACGATCAAGCCACAAAATTCCAACGTAGTTCGGCAAAGGTGGAAACAACTTTTGTAGTCAGTTCTGCCATTATGGGAGGTAACTCTATTAGTTCCTGTTCTATTTATAGCATATCACGATCTGCACAAAATGCCGATTCAAGTATCGTGTGTATGGTGATATCGTAGGTATTGCTGAATCGTGACAGCCCTACTGTACATGTTTACCAATCAAACAACAACATCACATAGTCTGACGGGGTGAAGTGTATTAATAATGAATATACATTTTCACATGATACAGCTTCAAATTTGTAAATATTGCAAGTATATCACTAAATATTTCTAAAAGTAAACCATCCATACAAAACTTTCACTATTCCCCTCATAGCTAAATACAATTGTATCAACTTGTAGCATAAAAGGCATTAAAATATATGCAGCAAAATAATATTTACATAAATGTTTATGTACAGAAGTGTAGTATGCTCTAACATCAATATACAATGTATTTGATGGCATAACCATGGCAACATCAATATACAGGGTATTTGATGGCGTAACCATGGTAACATTAATACATCCCGACTCAAACAAACCATGTAACAACGCATAATAAACAGATACAGATTAAAAGAAAACTATAAAGTGTATCATTTTGAATGAAAATAATAAATACTGAATCAGTGTTGATAGCCAGTTTGGCAGTTATTAGTTTTATCTGGCCATTCATTCGTGAGGTATTTGGCTCAGGACCGTAACCAGGAAAATCATCAAATTAAATTCATGTGTATGAATGTTAAAAGTATTAATACTGCATACTGGAATATATCACAAGGCGTTAACAGAACTAAGTAAAACAAACTTTTGACAGTATGACTTGCAAAGAAATTTTTTTGTAACTTTGATATGAGCGCATGGTATCGTGTGAGAGATCTAATTGGTCAGTCCTGATCCTGGAGGAACTGTTCCTCGGCTTCAGCCACCACAGCCTCGGGATTGTCCAGCTTCACCTGTGTAGAAATGTCACATGGTCACCACGGTGAATACATAGAGAACAAGCATGAAATAGACATATCCCCCGCCAATATAACATGTCCGGTTGTGTGCAAGGCAGGAAATATTGTACAGTTTCCCCGATCTGCTCCAGGAACGAGCACTACTGCCATTTTCAGTCTAAATCAAAATCATTGGCCATGATAGTGACAAGAAGTTACAGAAGATGGTGCTCGGCTGAAGCATGTCCAAAGATGGATTTATGGTAAGTTTTAATTACTTATTGGTTTGTTGTTTAACGCTGCACTCAGCAATATTCCAGCTATATGACGGCGGTATGTAAAATAATCGAGTCTGGACCAGACAATCCCGTGATTGACATCATGAGCATCGATCCACGCAATTGGGATCGATGACATGTATCAACCAAGTCCGCGAGCCTGACCACCCGATCCTGTTAGTCGCCTTTTACGACAAGCACAGTCGCCTTTTACGGCAAGTATGGGTTGCTGAAGACCTATTCTAACCGGAATCTTCACGGGTCTTTTAGATTTGTTTGGTACTTGTTCACCACTGCCACCTGTGTGAAGAGGCCTGTAAGTACATCAGACAGGGCCAGGCAATCCAGGGATTGTCATCACCGGGATACACGGACACGTAGTCGACCAAGTCACCGAGTCTGACCATCCCAACCAGCTTGTTGCCACTTAGGACAAGCATGTGTTGCTGGAGACCTGTGCAATCCCTGAGTCCCATATGATTTCCATTTTAGAAATATATATTTTAGAAAGTTAAAACCAGCAAATTCTGGCATTGCAAAGGGGAGTAACTCTGATCAGTAACTTGCAGTGTCTTTGATTGTACCAACCATATGATTATGACTGCAGATTAAATGGTCTACCTACCTCCGGTATTGGGTACTGTGTTGGTCCGGGGGCGCCGTCACGCCCGTAGTCCTGCATGGTGCCGCACTTGGGGACATTGTCCACCCACACACCCTCAAATACCTGGCCCGAGTTCAGGTAGTAGAATTTACCTGGGCCGTTCTTCTTGCCATCCTTCCAGGAACCCTCGTACCTGTTCTCATTGGCTGCAAGAGATGGGCTTTCCGTTACTAAGGTCAAACGTGATAGGTTCATTCATTCATTTTATTTCCAATACATATAGGCCACAGGCCTACACAGGTGAGTACACACAGGTTTTAAGCTTTCAGTTTCGCATTTCTTACTTCATTTGCATAATACAGATATTTTGCTAGATTTGTAATAATATATGTATCTGGTGATGACAGAAGCATATTAAATTTATGAACGTTAGGATGACAATAGAACTTTGCTTTGAGATATAGTTGCCGTATCTTGACATACGATGGACAAATAAGCAGGAAGTGGTACTCGTTTCAACACAGTCTAATTTACAAAGTTTGCATTTTCTTAAATTTCGTGGGATTTTATAATGACGTCCATTCTTAATTTCCATGATAGGTTATTGTAGGGCTGAAAGGGTTGGTCACTATAGCAATAATGATCAACAGAATTCTGTCACAATATATCTTGGTATCTTGGTTCATGACTATCTTACTGTCGGGACAGCAGAGTTACTGGGCTTCAATGGCTAATCAAACATCACCAGTTTGTATCAGTAAAGAATTGAGTCAGGCCTACCAAACAAAAATACTAACCTGCCTTCACAAACATAGAAATGTATGCTATTTGTCTATTTAGCAGTTTAAAACATAGTCTAACAGTAAGGGGTAGATTTGCACACTAAAACTATTGGCTGGGTTGAGTACAAGTCTACAGACCAGGAGGAAAGTGACGAGTAAGCACACAGCTTATTGCATAGCCTCATGTTCTGAATACACTCAACCCAATGAATAGTTTTTGTGCACAAATCTACTCATATTTCAGTCTATATTTGAGTCTGAAGAACAATACAAATACCCACACATTGCTATGTTTGCAAAGACAGGTTGCTGTGTTTCTTTGGTCGGTGTGTATGTGTATTGTGTCATCTCACACCACAGTCGGCCATATTCCAGGCTGTGCACAGCCGACCCTTCTTTCTGATACGTGATTTGGGTATGATTCATCTTACCGAGGCAAGGGAGTTAACTGAATTCAAAAGTCCAGTTTCCACCCTTTGCCGAACAAGGCTGGAATTTCTGGGCTTGACAGCAGCGCCACCAGTGGCTATTACAAGACACGTCCCGTCTATGTCCCTCCCATTGACCAATCAGATTCCACCTCTTATATCACTGCTTCAAACAAAATGGCCACGCCCAGTGAAGACGATCTGATTGATAATCAAGATCTATATTATAATAAAATGGGTCTTACTTCGCGAGGTGCATCAAAAGATGTGAGCACCTTCATAAAAAACATTTGAAAGAAAGATTTGGAAAATATTTGTTGACTTGAAGTTGTTGGTACACATGTTTTGCAAATCCTGCTTTCGACCGAAGTCTGCACGGCAGCTTACAAACTGAATGTCAATTTTATTATGAGATTTTGATTTGACTATGTATGCATAGACTCGTTAGTCCAGTCAAAATATGACTCCATTATGCCAACCTAGTTCGGCAAGGGTGGAAACTGGACATTTCTATTCAGTTAACTCCCTTGCCTCAGGAAGATGGGTATGATTTGATTCCCCGCACTTCTCAAAAATCCTTGATCCTCATGTATTCCATATTTCCATGTTTCCAACACTCACTTTGTCGAAGCATGCCTTGTCCACTTCTGAGATCATCGTACCACTCCCCCTCGTAGATGGTGCCATCCTGGAAGTACATCCTTCCCCAGCCACTCCGCTTGTCCGCGTACCACTCCCCCTCGTAGTACTCGGTGTCCGCATAGAACTGGGTGCCATAACCCTGGGGAGGTATCGATAACAGATGATTGCAGGTGATAACAGATGATTGCAGGTGATAACAGATGATTGCAGGTGATAACAGATGATTGCAGGTGATAATAGGAACATTTTCACACGTGATAAACACCAAGGCCACAGTGTCAGGTTTGGGAATCAATCATGTAATTCTTGGACAGAGTTACTTGCCCTGCTTTATGAAGTGGGATGTGGGAAGTTGTGACAAATTGTTTGGGACACTATTATAGTTCCCCAACAGATGATTGGAAATGTGGAATATAATTTGTCAAGTAATAGTAAGCTATGACTCTAATTTCCTTCCAACAAATGGAATCTACCAAATTATTTTAAGTACCAATATTTTCTTCAAAAACCATATCAGTTATACCAATAACATTCAGGGGAATATATCAGTGAATATAATCGATGATAATTTTTTTATTTATTTATCACATTCAGGTCGTCAACTGCTGGCTTTTGCAATTCGGGGATTTTTAGAATTTATATTTTTTCTGTTTCCATGGCAACAAGTTTGATTTTGACTGTTCATAGTAGTGTGCACCTGACATAGAAATACAACTTCCGAATCCCAATTCCACGGTATTGTTTTGATAGCTCAATAACTACTCTTGTGTACGGACAGACAGATCAGATAGAAACTCTGTCATGAAGTTGGGCTTATACTAACAGTCAAATGATTTGGTTTTTTTAATTTGTGGGGGTCAGGTGGATGTGTCATTTTCTGATAATTCTCGTTTTCAATTATGAGTTACATTCAGTCAAGCTTTAATACTCACGTGTCTCTTATCGTTCTTCCAGCCACCGGAGAAATCTTTCCTGAAGCCGCCCTTCCCATCAGGGTAGCTGAAGGTGCCAAAACCATTCCTCTTACCCTTCTTCCAGTCCCCATCATAGATGGCACCGGTGGCCTTCCATTTATATGTACCCTTCCCTGAAACAGACAATTTGTAACAGCTGAATTTCAAAATGTAATCTCTGGCAAGTCAAATGTACATTTCTAACACACTGATTTTTTAAATTATAAAATCAGATATTTAAATCAATGAATTCAGGGCTTGGCATGTATATCTGTTTAAAGGAACCACCAACAAATTTGAAATATGAGGAGAAAAGGAGAAAGCGTGAAAAGCTGAGAAAAAACAAGGGTTATAACGTGGAATTGTGATTACACAACCTACATCCACATAATAATTTAACATAACAGGTAGCCAACATATTGTTTTATGTACCGAACATTGGACCTGATTCGATTCTACAAATACTGTTGTGGTTATAGACATTGATATTTTTGTAAAATATGTCTCCATGACATTTCTTTCAGCACATAGATGTATAGTATATACATTTAATTTGTAAATGAAATAATTAAATATAGATATATAGGCATTATAGCTAAACGAGTTAGATTCTATATTAATAAATTTTATTATTTATTTTATCATTTCAACCAACTCATTAAGTCATTAGATTACTTGGCTTTTTACAACAAAATCAATCTTCGTGTCCTCGGACGGAAATAACTTTTGGAGGGAGGATACAGGTGAAAGGATTTCCTTTCAAAATACACATTATCTCACCATCTTTCTTGTTGTCCTGCCATTCCCCAGTGTATTCATCCCCGTTGACTGAATACACGGTGTGACGAACTCCCTTTTTCTGGGCATTGTAATCCCATTCTTTCCACAAAGGCTCCCTTGGTTTGGGATCTTTTAAATGCGGCATTTTATACAATATTGATGCTGACCCTATGAAAGATGCAACGGGTTTACTGAGGTCGTTCTAAAACTTCATGTTGTGTTTATTTCCGATGACGCGAATGTGCGCGTGCACTGCTTCTCTGTTGCCATGACTGCATTTCCGACAAGGGGAGTAACTCGTAGCACTCTAAGCATTCTCTTACGATAACAAGAAGCTTTTCTTGAATAAAATCTCCTGAATTTTAACTTCCAGCTCCTTTCAATTTACGGTGTAACTACGCTTACCAAAATCTATATATTGATCGATAACATCAATTGACTTTACGCTCCCAAAAGTTTCTTAATTTCCAAATCGGATACATGCAGACATAGTCTTAGCCAAATTATTTTCTGAAAATGAACCCCAGATCTAGTAGTTTGTATTTCATTAGAAATGGTAACTTATCCTTATGTTTATAAAATAGCTCCTTTAGTTCCTTATGATCAAAGTTCAAATATCGCACCTTTGTAAAGAAAGCGTGTGTACCGTTATTTTTTATTAATTATTCGAGAATTCTGAGGAATTAAGTTCGATTACACGTCTGTAAGCGCGTGTATACACATCCATGGGAGTCAGCTATGGAAATCTTATTTCAGTCAGTAGCTTGTAGACGTGTGACATTTGTTCCTAAATGTATTTGCGTATTTGGTCAATTAGTGAAAGAGACAGTCCTCGTTCGCAAATATTTCTTAGCAGAATGACAGCGTATTTATTTATGAGAATCGCCAATACGTTCGCCAGCTCGTGTGTTTCTAGTGCCGTGATGCTGACACTGGCGGACAACGACTGAAAGTAGACGTGCACAGACAACGTTATGACTTCGAAGTTCACTATTAATACTTCACGAGGTCAACAACAATGTTTTAATTTCATAGCATGCTGTTTGTATATCAGTAACCGTTTTTAAACGAATTGGTAGTGACAAATGGTCAAATTTATCAAGATATTGCTCGGGATTGCAAGATGAAGAAGGAAGTTCAATATTTTTACTCTATGCCACACTTAATATGGGCGGGGCGGTCGGGTAGCCTAGTGGTTAAAGCGTTAGCTCGTCACGCCGAAGACCCGGGTTCGATTCCCGACATGGGTACAATGTGTGAAGCCCATTGCTGGTGTCCCCCGCCGTGATATTGCTGGAATATTGCTAAAAGCGGCGTAAAACCTCACTCACTCACTCACTCACTTAATATGGGCTGTTAGCCGAAGGAAACATGACGGGATTTCTCTCAAACAATTCAGATGAAGATTCAAAAAGTTTTAAAACGTCATTTTTGGAAGACATTTCAAATTGAAAGTGTATTGATTTTGTATTAATGTAAATACAAAAATGTGGTACCAGGATCAATACTGTCCAGAGTAGTGGGATGTAAACATGCTTCCGATACATTTCTACAAAGGACTGAAATTGTATATATTATTGCAGCACAAAATGTCCCTATGTGATGAAATCATTTTATTTAACTAACTAGTCTAGCAATTAATGCTATTCTTTTATTATGTTTCAGCAATGAATCCCTTGTCCAAAACATGGTGAGAATAAATTACTGTAACACCCTTCAAAAAGATTTCTGAAGTCTCCCAAAACGTTTCTGATGCACCTGAAGCTACTTGTTCAGATTTGAACAACTATGACCTGACCACATGTTTACCAGATACATCTACTGTAGAGGTTGACAATACCTTACATCCAAGTGATGCTTTGCTTCATCTGACTCCAGTGAGGTGTTATGGAGATGGTCATCGAAAGTGTTTACTGGTCAGATAAAAATGACAAATTGAACCACACAAACTGAATGAGGTCACTTCGTAATGTAATGACGTCATATAACAATAGGTAACGTCAGACATGGATGGGAGACAAGTAAACCGCCTGAGAGAAATGTATTACGAGTTCAAAATGTAATGTGTTTTGTGAGTGAATATGGTTTTACGCCACTTTTAGCAGTATTCCAGCAATATCCCGGTGGGGGACACCAGAAATGGGCTTCACACATTGTACCTATGTCGGGAATCGAACCCGGGTCTTCGGCGTGACGAGCGAACGCTTAACCACTAGGCTACCCTACCGCTCGTACCTACGGAAAATGGAAAACAAATCACTCATTACTTAACATTAATTTCACTCGTAACATATTTTCCGTAATCACTCGTACCTCAATGGTTATTCAACGCCCAGCCGTTACGGAGTCAAACGTTAACCCTACCACTCTCTAGGCCGTCCCCACGCTTATGCTTATGTCACGTAATTTTAGAGCCGACACGCGTCACTCAGCATTCACAAACTCTGCTTGACCCTAATGTTATCAGTGACGATTGTATAATGGTGTAGAGTCGAGTGTTGTCGACTTCAGCAGGGATACAGTGACCACAAGGGGTTGTTGTTTCACTAACCAACTTCACTGTTATGAAAAGAGTCAGTGTCCATGGTCCTATGTGAGAGAGGTTCTGAGATATAGAAATAGTGACTACTAGGCTGAGCTTAGTGAATTGATTGAATCAACTGATTGGGTGTGCTTGTTTACGAGCTGTGGGTCTATTGTCAATATATGATATTTTTTCTTTCCACATTCAAAAACTATATCCAAACCGTGCTGTTACAACAACCATGGTTTGATGGTTAACTACGTAGAGATATAAGAGTCAGACACCGACTGAGGAAAAAAGCTTGACGAACATGCAACGAACGCGATTTATATTGATAGAAAAAAACCAAAGAAATATGGTAAACAATTTGAAGAAAGCTGGCAAGGATCTTTTTTATATAAACTTAGATGGATTCTTATCAACACAGTTCTAATTATTGGAAAATACTGCGTCAACTGCGGCATGGTATCTCAGTGAGCTAGCACTATAAAATCGGCAATCAGTCCGGACTAGTACAAGCAGCCACACACACACACGTTCGTGTACGTCGCTATATAAGTGCAATATTTTAGGACGCGACGTTAAACCCCATTTTCACCTCACTTCACGTGATTAAAGATTCACCGTGATCCCGCCTCTGGTCACTCATAACAACAAAGTACCTGAAGCATTTTCGATTTTAATAAAGCTGTGGCTCTCAAGTATTATTTTGCGTCAGTTTCCGATGTTGACGATGAAGGCGCCCCGCTACCCCATTTGTTAAACTATATGATCATAAATTGGATTATACCGTTAACGAAAAACAAGTCCCTTCAAGTAAATAAAGCAGTCCCGACAACCAGAAGGATTGAGTACTAAAAGATATATTACTACCCGTAGCCAATCCCATACACTTGTTATTCCATTTAACTCTTGAACAAGGCACAGTGGAACTTGCAAAAGTATTGCCATTGCAGGGGCGGATCTAGGGGGGATTCAGGGGGTTCGAACCCCCTTTTGAAAATCACACATGTGTAAAGTCTCTGAAAGGAATTTAGAAGGGACACACGTAAGGAAGAGAATATATGGATGTCAACCTCTTTATTATGAGGACCACTGAGCATATGCTTACTCATTATCAGGTGAATGATGAAGGAGTAAGCATATACTCAGAAACGTTGTGTTCCTCATAATAAAGAAGTTGACATCCTTATATTCTCTTCCACACATGTGTAGTATTGAATTATACAGAAAGGGTGTTTGCATGTGTATCTTAATATCTCCTGTGGTCATTATGTTTGGTCATGTTAGAAATGCAACTTGACAACACATCGTCTCTTGTCACAGTCACAGAAACTGTTTTGCTCATACGAAATTTTATATTCCTGTGGTGCTAGTTCAAGGGGTGTGTATGGTTTGACGCCGCTTTTACCAATATTCCAGCAATATCACGACGGGGAACACAAGAAATGGGCTTCACACATTGTACCCATGTGGGGAATCAAACCCGGGTCTTCGGCAACGGATTTAGCAACGGTTCTGAGTGGTAACAAAATCTCCAAATCTAGCAAAACATTCCATCAAGTAATAGTGGAAACAGATTTTTAAACTTTTATTTTATGTAACAAGATTGATTTATCATGAGCTACTTCAATATTGTATGGTATTTTCCATGTTTGTTTGTTTGGTTGTTTTTTTTGGGTTTTTTGGTTGTTTTTTGTTCTCAGCAATATCCCTGCTAAATGACGGCGGTCTGTAAATAATCAAGTCTGGACCAGACAATCCAGTGATTGACACCATGACCAGCAACTGGGATACGATGACATGCATCAACCAAGTCAGCGAGCCTGACTACCCGATCCCGTTAGTCGCCTTTTACGACAAGCATAGTCCACCTTTTACGGCAAGCATGGGTTGCTGAAGACCTATTCTATCCGATCTTCACGGGTCGTTTTCCATGTTACTGGCATATTCATCACATGTTGGTTATAGCTCGTGAAGTATCAATCATATTTTTTCTATAAGTTTTGGTACTCGTTATGATTTTGATGTAAACCAATATTTTTGTATGTCAATATCCCAGTCTTGTGATATTTTATAGCTCCCGCCCTTTATTCAAAATCAAAACATCCATTATCGTTTATTAACTGCTGCCAATAAACTAAATATCTTTAACAAATGTTCCATTGTATAAAAATAAATAAATACATGCCGCATTTAGATATGTATATGTATGTATATGTACGTATGTATGTGTATGTATTCGATTTTTAGCAAAAAAAGTTGTTTAGATTAACAGACAGGTAACATGATACTCGAAATCCCCGAATTACTTCGCAAGGACTGTGAGGTAAAGAAAGCCTTCCCGCCTCCATTACCAGTGGATCACATCGTCATTCCAGTATGACAAGGGGGCACGGGTGGCCCAGTCGTCTGAGGCGCCGCGATTCGCTGCGCAGAGTTGCGTCCCTTGGGATCGCCAGAAACCTATGATTGTGGGTTCGAATCCCAGTTCGCCCCGATTATGTTTCTAGGTTTGGCAGCACCATACCCGTGCTCATGGGTTTCACCGAAGTGGTAAACGTCTGAGACCTGCATCACTTTGGGCTTTCCTCCCACATTAAGCTGACACTGATATAACTGGAATACTGTTAAAAGCGGCGTTAAACCCAGCTCACTCTAGTACCCATTTAAGATACGCTGGATAGTAGAGGGTGTGTTTACACTTACATTGCTGCACATTGATATATCAAATCTTCTAATTTAAGTGGATTCGGCAAGAGCATGGAGCTTACACCTTTGTTGGAATAACTTTGATATGGTATATATACATTTAAAGTATGTATAATAATAATAACTTATAATGCGCTAGCAGTTAATGCTCAAAGCGTTCCACCATTATTACCCTACCCCCTCACTGCTGGGTGAACAGAGGCACATTTCTGACAAAGTCACTTGCCTAAGGAGACACCACATGTGGTACATGTGCTTCAGTGTGGGGCAGGACCGAAGCCCTAGAAACTCTCAGGAGTCAAGCTGCTGAACGTGGTCACCCATCCAAGGACTCTCCGAGACCGACGTTGCTTAACTTCACCTGATTTGTGACCTGTGCGCTGTGCACAGGGCCACGTGCCACCACGTTTTCCATCAAATAAATATCTAAATATCTCGTTCAGTTCACAATGCAACGCACTGTTGGAGGTGACTGCATGTTCAAATAGATATTGTTCTATGTGAAGACATATTTCATGGTTTCAATTTGAGAAAACAATGGATTGAAAAAATAATGATGTCAATTAATAGCATATGTTGACAATTTAGAAATCTATATTGATTTTAATGCACTGAATTACAAAGGCGGACTTTTCATCAATATATTGTGAGTTATGCGCCGGGTGGCCTACATTTGCGAAATAAAAAACACATCACATACACATCGTTTACTATTCATTATTCAGGTTAAACTCAACGACGCACTTCGCCTTTCAAACATGCGTTGAATATTTGGGATTGTCGCCCGTTGATGTTGGCTCGTTGGTTGGTTGGTTGCTTGCTTGCTGGCCTAACGCCGGACTCTGAGTCTGTGTGTGTGTGAAGTGCCATCTATATCGATGGTGGAGAATAATAAGACAAACAAAACAAAGACAATAGCACTAGCATCAGGCGGAAACAAGTCACCCAATATGGGGAAACCTTGGACAACGTCGTCCAACAGACCAAACCAGCATGCTGTAAGATTCAGTCAGGAATATTCAACAACAATTATCAATTAAGCAATAGCGTTAACAGACGACTCAAAGCACAGCTGATTCAACTTGTAACATTTGCAACCATCTTCAATTATCCAATGTATTATATTTATTTTCCCAGATCCATTTACATCTTGTGTTCGTTTGTTTGTTGTTTAATGCCGCTCTCAACAATATTCCAGCTATATGACGGCGGTATGTAAATAATCGAGTCTGGACCAGACAATCCAGTGATTAATATCATGAGCATCGATCCACACAATTGGGATCGATGACATGCATCAACCAAGTCAGCGAGCCTGACCACCCGATCCCGTTAGTCGCCTCTTACGAGCCCGCTGATGTAATCAAACTGTACTTATTTAATTCGGGGCTGACGTACAGTTTGGGCGTTACATGCTTACATCTTACATTGTTGTCAATATAAACAGTATCCATCACCAGTGTTCTCTAAGCCGTCCTAGTTAAGAGTTAAGATCCTGTATGATACTGAAAATTATAGCTTTACAAAGCTGACCCCGCTGAATTGAATTTGAAACAATGACTGAGAAAAAGACCTTTCTATTAATCTTAGCTTCAGTGTTATGACCTTCAAACCAGTTGTTTCAATCAGAGGTGGCTATTGTGATTTGAAACCTATAATTGACAGAAATAAACATTTTCCAAATTCCAAATAGAGCCTTGCGTGAGTTGTGTCAGTTCAAGCAGAGGCAAGCTCCTTCCCAGCGCGTGACACCTTCGTTACACTCTCGGTAGTATAGAGAGCTCCGGGAACGTACTATCGCTGTGAGGAGCTTGAAGCAGAGGAAGTCAGGGGAGGTAATCCAAGATGGACGTACTCGGTATTGTACTTTCTGGAGGGAAACTTCAAAGGTTTATAATGATACACATCGAGTTCTTTAAGCTTTGACGTGTGGGTGATGAACAAGATCATCTAAGAAGGATCTGTAATATCCACTGTCAGTTTCGTGATCAACAAACTGTTGATACATTTCTTCTCATAATAAAGAGACCGCCTCCGTGGTCTAGTGGTAGAGCGTCCGACCAGAGAGCGGAAGGTCCGGGGTTCGATACCCGGCCGCGTCATACCAAAAGACGATAAAAGATGGTACTTGTTGTTACCCTGTCTGGCGCTCGGCATTAAGGGGCTAAAACAAGGACTGGCCGGCTCGGAGTCAGTATACTGTGTCTGAGTGGGGTATTCATGTTAAACTGTGGCATGGTATCTCAGTGGGCTAGCAATATAAATCGGCATCAGTCCGGACTTGTACAAGCAGCCACACACACACGTACGTGCATGCACGTCGCTATATAAGTGCACTAATCTTAGACGCGACGTTAAACCCAATTTCACCTCACCTCTTAATAAAGACAAAGGGAGAAGAATGAATGGGTGAGTGAATTTTGGTTAACACAGCTTTGAGTATTTCAGTTCTAGCTGTGTCAGGTTTGTCGGCTTACATATCACCACTTGGAATATTTGGCGAATCAGCAGATCCTGTCACCACAAAGTACCACAACTCTCCACAGCGAAATCCAGTTCGCTATAAAGTTGTCGTTTGTTGTTCATCACCGCATTCAGCAATATTTCAGCTATTTGACGGCGGTCTGTAAATAATCGAGTCTAGACCAGACAATCCAGTGATTGACACCATGAGCATCAATCCACGCAATTGGGATACGGTGACATGCATCAACCAGGTCAGCGAGCCTGACCACCCGATCCCGTTTGTTGCCTCTTACTCCCTATATAAAGGACACGATTTTGAGGTAATAGTTTTTATTGAAGTCTTCTGAACAATTAGCACAATGAACAACGGTAACAATAACAAGAGTAATATAAAAATATACATGTTGTATCAATGGGAATTGTATACAGTACAAATACCTGAAAATTCAAACAAAATCACCAGTAGTCAAGTGGTAAGACAGGGAGCTGAAAGAATGCGAGCAGTTTTTTGGTGGAAATAAACAACACAAGCTTTGGGTTATTACGGAGAAATTATTGGCGTCTGAAACTTTCAAATAAAAAATAACCCTCTGGTTATGTTATTAATAAATACTGTTTAGTCACTTACATGGCTTACATTTAACAACATGGACCAGACAATGACACATACATTTCTTAAACCTTTAAAATTTCACACTAAATGTCACTGTAATGGGTGTGGTGGTGTCATTTTAATGTGCTAAGAGTTACCCGCCCTTTTGTCTCTCATACTGACTGAAAAAATATATCCCAATTTCCCCAAGCAAGACGAGTAGACTACTTTGGCAAGTCTAGATTTCTTCACTGTCCGTTTCCGAAAAGAAAGAAATCCTCTTGGTTCTTTTTCTATTGTACATTAAAACATTTCCAAAAATAAATCTTTAAATAGTTTCATTGCGGATACTAAATATCGTCTACCATTAAGATCCCAGACAAAAAAAGTTCCCTTCCGATGCGCAGAAGTCATGCACGAGCACGTCGTAAGGGCTACAATCTGCCGCTTATCATGGTAACCAGACTAATGCGAGAAACAAAAGACTATAGTGGTTAGTTTCATAAGAAACGATTAAACACTTGACGATTTAGATTCCCTGCTCCAGTGACCACGGGTGAGCGGTTCTTCACGTAGGCGGGAGTTTAGCTAAGTACATTGAGTCGATGTCGCGTCTAAAGTTACAATATGTTGAAACCCCACGACGCTGTAATAAACGTCTAAAAATAGACCAGGAACATTACCCCGCAACGACTCGTTAATCCGGACCAGTTACATAACTGAAAATGGTATTGTCCGGATTAACCATTTAACGGGTCAAATGTCAAAGCATCCTTCACACAGGGAATCTTGTACCGGTGGCCGCCCATTAAGTATTCCACAGATGTATGCTTGAAGGAAGTCGGTTTGCACCGCCCACATATAGGGCGGGGAGTGCAAATGCATTGAGTTTTGTTTGTCAAGAGAATAATATAGTTTTGAAACTATACACATCTTGAGATGCGTAAGGTGTCTGGTAAGGACAAAACGTTTCCTACTCGTCTACAAAAGGTGTGCTGAGGTAAACGATCAACCTACCTCGGAAACCATTCAGCCCTGAATACCTGCATCTTCCCGCGTCTTGCCATATTTGTTTATGAAACAAACACGTTTTGTGTCATTACGAAATAGAATGATTCTGTATACGAACAGTATTGACACCTTGAGTTCAGAGTCACCTAGCACCACGTGCTTGTCACGGACAAGAGCCACTAAAATAAGTATGGAGTACGTAGGGCTGATCGTGTGTCACTCAAGACGAGTGAGTGAGTATTGTTTTACGCCGCTTTTAGCAATATCCCAGCAATATCATGGCGGGGGACACAAGAAATGGGCTTCACACATTGTACCCATTTGGGAATCGAACCAGGTCTTCGGCGTGATGAGCGAACGCTTTTAACCACTAGGCTACCCCACAGCCCTTGACGCAAATATTTAAAGTTCGAACAGTAGAAACAGTTTCAAGTTGAAAACATTACAAAAAATAATACTGTGTGACATGTATGGTGAAAAAGAACGAAACAACGAAACGGGAAATACACGCTCCGGCAATAACGTTTGATATACGCCTTTAAAAGAAGGATCTCACGATGTTGGGAAATCTCCAAAACATAGACGGAATGACATACTCGTTAAAGGGCCAGTAAAGTTACAACGTCATTGCGATGTTGTTGCGATTATCAACTTTCCTAGATACTGTTGACATTTCCGGGAGAGAGAGAAAGTCATAATATTCAATATCGGCTTCGAAAACAAACTTTTTTCGGGGTGGTGGTCTCAAGCTACCGGCGCAGCGGTAACATCTGTTTTCATTGGCTGTTATGTTTATACATATACTGTTTCTGCATTTTCTGTTATCCTACAAACATAACAACATTGCATTGTTGAATCTGTGCAACGACCTTTGATCGGTACCTTGCGTTTTATTACTTTTTTTGTTTGTTGTTTAACTGTACACAGCAATATTTCAGCTATATGACGGCGGTCTTTAAATAATCGAGTATGGACCAGACAATCCATTGATTGACATCACGAGCATCGATCCACGGCAAGCATGGGTTGCTGAAGACCTATTCTACCCCGGATCTTCACGGGTCGTTTTATTACTAACATCCAATTTGGGAATTAAAACACCAGCTGCCCTCGGCCCTATTCCACACAATAAGTACCTGTCGGGGAATAATCTCCCGAGTAAACAACTGAAGGCAACTTCAGTGTTGTTACTAAGGTGACATAAGTTGTGGAATCAAATGGATGAGCAGCATAATGTATTACAAAATGTGTGGCGGAAGCAGGCAGACTGGGCGTCGACCCGATCGTCATGATCGTTGCACAGCGCGTCAATCACAGGGAACCCGTTTTAACCCCACTAAGGTTATTCCCCTTGTATTGTCATTTTTATCGTCTGTTTACGCTATTACCCTTTTTCAAATATAGTTTTGGTCAAGCATTTGTTACTAAGAATGCCTTTATAGGTATTATACTCCGTAAAGATACTGTGGTGACATTACTCGCCCTTTAAACTGGTTTTGTGACATGGGTACTTTGGTGGTGTGCGCATCGATACGTAACTCCACATTGCTAGGCAGTCACCCAGTCATTGATTTCATCCTTGGTGTGGAGTCTTCACTCTCTTGCATCTATTATGATATTCCATAAGTGGTTATGTAGTGTTATACAACGAGAGGTCGATACAATGTAACATGCTGCTTTTAGATAACATACCGCATATATATGTCACCAAGAGATTGTCAATATTGCCAGCAGACCACACTCCAAATAAATATAACACATATTCCAGGTATACATAACGACTGACGAAATTTTCAGAATTGTGTATTTCTTGATGATGTATTACGCAACAAAAGATAAGGATCACACATTTTATCATAACTTTGGTTAATATTAACTTAATATCACCCATAGTAATATGAAAGAATCATGTGGTCCTAAGATTAGGCTGCGGGGCTTATCTCGGCCCTAATTACGACAGACCCGCGGACCGAAGAGTCACATATGTGAATTGTCTCTTTCCAAAGAAAAGACAAGCTCCTCATTTTTGGTGGCGAAGAACTGTCTGTTTTCTTTCATCATAAACCGACAAGGAAGAAACGCTGACACGCTTGCATTTAACTTGTTTATATTTAATCCTGTCGACCATTCTTTTATTTAGTTTCTTATTTGTTCTTTTACAATCGAGCACATGGTTTTGATTTTTTCTCTCTCCGTACAAACCCATTAGAACAAAAGTGTATTTTGATTGCGCCGTACACGAGTTGTTACAGTACTTGCTGCAGTCAAAGAATCCGTGAAGCTGTCTGCAGGACAAAGACTGCACCGCAGTGGTACCAAGTACCATTTCATGTACAAAGAACTGTACATCTATCAAAACAAGGATTCCATCAAATCACGAACAACAGAAGCTTATAGATTAAATACTAAAAGCGCATGTTAAATAAAGACCAATACAGATTTTGAGACGACCCCTGTATGGTCGGTACAAAAACAGATAGCTAATTTGTCAGCTACATCATGGGTACATGAATAACGTCAAACATTAATAGCGTCACGTGACGCTGACAGGCAAACGGAAGGGAAAGTCTCCCTCGCTCAATTCGACCTTGACGTCACCATCACAGATTTGTAACATGATTCGAGTTCCCACAACTCCGAACTAACAGCACCACGTTGATAAGTCATTGTGAATTTGGAAAAGGTGGATCGCAATTAGAAGTGAAATATTTTATCTTTACCGATCGGTTTCCCCGTGTTGCTCTCGCTCGGTGCGTGTGTGTTTCGCCGGGGGTGGGGGGGGTGTAGCTTAGTGGTTGAAGCGAGTTGAGTCAAAATACTTTTCCGCTCTGCTTTTGGCTTTTGTTTGTTTGTCGTTTAACGCCGCACTCAGCAATATTCCAGCTATATGACGGCGGTCTGTAAATAATCGTATCTGGACCAGATAATCTAATGATTGACTTCATGAGCATCGATCCACGCAATTGGGATACGATGACATGCATCAACCAAGTCAGCGAGTCTGACCACCCGACCCCGTCAATCGCCTCGCCGCTTTTAGCAACATTCCAGCAACATATTGGCAGGGGGCAACAGAAATCCGTTTGACACACAATAATGTTTACCACTAGGCTACCCGACCCCACCTGGTTGGGTGCGAGCACCAGATTGATTCCCACGTGCACGGGTGAAACCTGTTCTGTGTATTTGAATGTACGTTATGGGTTTTTTTTCGGTTTACGGATCCACCAGTAAATATTTTGCAATAACATACTTTCAAGGAGTCATTTTCCTTTTAAATGATTAAGTTTAAGACATATTTGCAAATTTGACACGTACCCTAAAATGATATACAGCGGCATACTGTTTAAGTCAGAGCTACGACCCTTATTGCCGTGAATGAGAAACTGATTGTCGTGAAGGAGCCTTTCACTATGAGTCCAGAATTTGTCCAACCACGCACCGAGCTAAACTGTCGCTCAGAATATACGTCTCAACGATGTTGATTTATATATATGAATATGTAATTATCACAATGATCCAGCAAGGCAATATCAATATCATCAGCCGTTTCTCATGCCCTGGTTGTTTGACAACACAATTGGCTCCATATCGCACACTGCCACAGCCACACTTTGATCATCCTCGATAATCCTGGGTAGTATATCTCTCCTCTATACTGATATATACCCTGGACCCATATATTACCACTGCTTCGTTTTGAACCCGATTCCAGTAGCACGACGCTATAAGTAGCCGTCCAATCAAACGACTCTCACAAGCGAGGGAAATTCTGTGCTAATGTAAGTTAGAAATGGGAGTGATAGAGTTGGCAGGTCCTTTCCCAAACGAAGCTATGGGGCGAATTTGTCCTGGGTATTTACCAATATGAGATATGATACACTGGACAATCGAGGGTGCACTATAATAATAATAAAAACAACAAAATAAATGCTGAAAAGAGTTCCCCAACAAGAATCAGGGACTGGATTCGATAAAACGATGAAATTCACAATTTTCTTCAGACCAACCTCTCTATACATTGTTCAAGTCCGAGGTATCCAAGGCCGTAGCTAAAGTCTCTATCTCCCGCAACCCTTCTGAATGTCTCTCGTACTTATGGGCTATGAGTTTCTTGTAGAACACCAATGAGAACGCGATGAACAGAATCCCCGCGGGGATGACAATGACGGTGGAGGCGATGGCAGCGTTCTTACTGACGTTGAGGAACTTTACCCAGGACAAGATGGCGATCTCGGCCAGGAAGAGGAGAATCCCCAGTCCTGTAGAGCACACCCATGCCACTTCGATGGACCATCGCATCTTCTCGTGGGGAGACTCCTGCACGGCGTTTACGTTGTGGACGTTGCTCACCGCCTCGATGTTCGGGAGAATGCACGTGCTGATCATGAGCGCCATGAGGTGGACGGTGACTAGCAGTGTCGTACAGATGCCGAAGATGACGAGGACGAAGTCCGGGATTTTTTGCCCGTTGGAGGGGTCGATCTGGACTTCAACCATGGCTACCTGGGAAATGAAAGACAACGTGAGTGAGTGAGTGAGCGAGTGAGTGACAAAACAAGCCAACTAAACATTCAAGACTTGAAGATGGCATGTAGAAGGTGAGGTGAAATTGGGTTTAACGTCGCGTCCAAGATTATTGCACTTATGTAGCGACGTGCATGCACGTGTGTGTGGCTGCTTGTACTAGTCCGGACTGATGCCGATTTATAGTGCTAGCACACTGAGATACCATGCCGCAGTTTAACATGAATACCCCACTCAGACACAGTATACTAACTCCGAGCCGACCAGTCCTTGTTTTAGCCCTTTAATGCCGAGCGCCAGACAGGGTAACAACAAGTACCGACTTTTAACGTCTTTTGGTATGACGCGGCCGGGTATCGAACCCCGGACCTTCCGCTCTCCGGGCGGACGCTCTACCACTAAACCACGGAGGCGGTTGACATGTAGACGTTTTGATACCTCCATGAAAAGAAAACAATGCTTGAAGTCTGTGACAATAGGCCTTTGTTATAAGCGACTGTCACAAGCTGTCACAGGCAGATTATCGTGGAAATACCACACCAGTAACGCAGAAACGCAGGCAAAAAAAATGCCAATTAGAATCTTACATAGTTTAAAAAATTTCCCTGATCTTTCATATAAAACCTTTTTTTGAATATTTGATACAAAAATTACTCCAATTCTTTTATATGGAGCAGAGGTATGGGGTCATACTGAATACATAACTATTGAACTGGCCCATCTATATGCTTGTAAACGATTCCTTGGCGTAAAGAACTGTACATCAAGTGTTATGGTATATGGTGAATGTGGGCGTGTACCACTTTACATATTTCAACATGTTAGAATTCTCAAGTATTGGTTCAAGAATCTTAAGATGCCTATTGATAGATTACCTAGAAAATGTTACAATATGATGTTATTGTATGAAAAACATGGAATCCGCAATTGGGTATATGATGTAAAGTCGTTTTAAATGAATGCGGCTATGGGTATGTTTGGCATAATCAATGTGAACCAAACAATCGATTCGTTTTTAGTAGGTATACGCCAAAGACTTAAGGATATATACTTACAAAAATGGTCATCGCATGTTTTAAGTTCAGAAATATGCAATTATTACAAGCTTTTTAAGACATATTTCCCCAGAATACTATTTGTTTGATATCAGTTTTAAAAGGTTTAGAATAAGTTTAGCACAATTTAGATGCAGCTCTCATAGACTTAACATCGAAGTAGACAGACACAGAAACAGAGCCAGTGAATTGAGAATATGTGATCAATGTGGTTTAAATGTGATTGAAGTTGAGTTTCATTTTCTGTAAGTTTGTCCAAAATACGACCACCTAAGAAGAAAATATATTGATCTGCCTTTTTATGTACAGCCCACTCAACAAAAGATTATAACGCTCATGTTAACAACTGATAAAGATACTCTAAAAAATCTATCAATGTTCATTTATCATGCTATGTTAATTAGAATATGACCTGTTAAACGGATCTGTAACTACTCCCGAAAACAGAATTGTACTATGGGCCTGTTGCCTTTCAGTATGGAAAAAACTATCCTTATGAGCGACTGGAGCGTGAACGCGCTCAAGTAATATTCACCTAAAATACGGCAAGCATGGGCTGCTGAAGACCTAGTCTAACCCGGATCGTCACGGGTTTGTTAGAGATAGTGATTCTCTAAAACATGGACAGTGCTCCTGTAATGAAATATCGAGGACGAAATTGTTTTTTTTTGCACAATCACCACCTCCATTCTATCTAGAAATCTAAATGAGAATTTGGAAATGTTCACATTAGGTAATACGGGTGATATCTAACCCCGAGGGAGAACAAGATACGAGAAACCTCTGCCACGGGCAAGCCAGCTGTGACGGCACGTCACCTCTCACACGAACTTAGTAATTAATTACACAGGTTCCGATCACGTGATATGCAAATTAGTTTGTGACAGTGGGATTACGTGTGATGTGACTGAGGAATTATACATTTTACATTCATATTTCTCTCATGGAACTCACTACTGAAGAATAACAACCAGCGAACGGATATTCTAATTGTTGTGTAATGCACTACCCTCATTTTCAGTAAAAGTCAAACTTGTCGTCATGAAAACATAAATACAAAATCCCAAATCATCAAAAGGCACCAGTTCCCCACTAGACTGATCTATACAGCACGTTTCAAGAAGAAATTCTGAACGGTTTTACAGTTCTGCTCCGGAAACAAAATACAACAACATTTTTTCATCATGAGAAATAATGAAAATAAAACAAAATAAAAAAGAATAAAAATTCCAAATCATCAAAAGGCACCAGTTCTCCACTAGACTGATCTATGCAGCACGTTTCAAAAAGAAATAGTTCACGGTTTTGGAGTTCTGCTCCGGAAACAGAATTCGGACGGCTGACGGACGGACGGACGGACATGGTGGTCGCTATATCGGGATAAATACTCAAAGTAATTGTTGGCTGGAGATGTTGGAAGTCCGGGGAACAATTATTCAGCTTCTCCTGTCAGAGACATACATGTATAGAAGCAGTTTGATGATGTCTATGTGCGTGCAGGGACGCCGGCCCAGGATAGCGTTTCAAATCATCCAAACATTTTTTTCTACGGATCACATAGGTGGTCTAACATAACACAGCATGGAGGCAACCACCATAATCTAACAATAATATAAAGTGTATTAACTACAAGGGACTACTAATTTTAGTTCGTTATAACCGTAGTTCGTTATAGGCATATATATAGCATAACAACAGCAAATAGTCAGGACCCAAAAAGTAAGTTCGTTATATCCGTCAGTTCGTTATAAGCGTGTTGGTTATAACCGTAGTTTACTGTACTTTGAAAGGTATTTTAGTAAGGGGGAGTTACAACATATAGTAACTATCAGAATTTGTCATGGCTAGGGAATTCACAAAAGTAAATCGGAAGAATATTATGTCTACGACCAGAACAGAAGGGGCATTAGATAAGATAATATTTATTGCAGAAACGTTCCATTACGGGACAGATGCAATTTTAAAAGACAAGACATTATGATTTATATATACATATATACAGACAAACATAATTTACATTCCTGTAGACACATACAAAAACAAAATAATCAATATTACATATTTTATACATAAAATGTCAACGGTTGATTATGAGGGGGTATTTATTGTTTGAAATTATAGATGTGGAAACAAATGCATTATAAACAAGAGTTATCCCGTGGGAGATTGAGGTCAATGGCCATGTGTCTACTGACCGAGCAGTTGTATTAGATATCGAACTAATATTAGTGGTCCCTTTGAGTTTTGCTCCCAGCTGCACCACAAAAGAATAAAACTTATCTACAGTTTTTATTTACACTAATTACAGTTTGTTTTGAAATTGGTGTGTATTCTGAGTTATGACAAAGTAGTATACTTTTCCCCCATCAACAAACCTGTCAGTAATCCGCGAGATCCTGTACGCTATAGAGGTATTTAATTGTTATCCGTACCCCGTAACATGTCTTCCCATATAAACATGCGTCTAATCAGATGTTTAGAAGATAATAATTTACTCTCCGAAGTCCAAAACGGATTCCGCTCATCACTAAGTACCCATGAATATATTTATAACCTTTTTCAATAGTTAATAACAGACTATTGTCCAGACTATCAACATGTTTGTTTCATTGATGCCATTGAAGCCTTTGATAAGGTAAACAGAGAATGTTATGGCATAATTTGATGAAACTCGGTATAAGTGGAAACACTTGCTCACCTGTGCGTATTAATGACAGTTTCACGAATATATTTGTCAGCTCTGGTGTCAGGCAGGGGTGTGTGTTGTCACCTACACTTTTTCTATTTATGTTAATGAGTGAGTGAGTGAGTGAGTGTGGTTTTACGCCGCTTTAAGCAATATTCCAGCAATATCACGACGGGGGGACACCAGAAATGGGCTTCACATTATATTAATGACTTAGCAAATGCAATAGACAGTCTACACTGCGGTATGATGATTGATGGAGCTATGTTGAGTACTCTGTGTTATGCTGATGATGTTGCTCTTATTGCCCCAAACGAACAGTCTCTACAGTGTATGTTAGACTGTGTTGCCAGTTGGTGTTCGAGTTGCGAATTTTGATTAATATTAAAAAGACTAAAGTTGTACATCACCGCCCCTGTTCTGTTTACATTAGGCAACAACCACGTTGAATACAGTAGTACATATAAGTATTGTTGCTGCATGAAAATCTCGATTTAAATTTTACCGCAAAAAAAACCCAGCTAAATCTGCTAAGATAGCACTGGGTGTGATATTTTGTAAATTTAAATCGGTTGGTGGCATGGATTATAAAGTTTTCCATAAATTGTATGATAAGTTGGTTCAACCCATCCTCTCATACGGAGATGTCGTTTCGGGAACACGTCAGTCTGGTTGCATTAACGCAGTTCAGAACCGTGCAGCGAGATTCTTTTTAGCAGCGGACCCGTGAAGATTCCGGGGTAGAATAGGTCTTCAGCAACCCATGCTTGCCGTAAAAGGTGACAATACTTGTCGTAAAAGGCGACTAACGGGATCGAGTGGTCAGGCTCGCTGACTTGGTTGATACATGTCATTGTATCCCAATGACGTGGATCGATGGTCATGATATCAATCACTGGGTTGTCTGGTCCAGACTCGATTATTTACATACCGCCGTCATATAGCTGGAATATTGCTGAGTCCGGCGTTAAGCCAGCAAGCAAGCAAGCGAGCAAGCAAGCAACCAACCAACCAGCCAACATCAACGGGTGAGTGCGGCGTTAAACAACCAACCAACCAATTTTAGCAGCGGGCAGAAAAACACCAACTTTGGCAGTCCGTGGTGAATTGTTCTTAGGTTCTGGCGAATAACAGGATACCCAGTATCAACAGCAGAGAGTGGTCAGTGCGGTGGGTAAGACTCTGGTACAATCAGGTTGCCGTTCCACAAAACAATCCTAGACCTGTCTTAAGTCCGT